AACTTGCGAAATGTGATTTAATGATAATCGAGGTTAACATTTTGCAGTTTACACTTTACAGTTGCACAGTGTTGACGTCGATTGTTACTAACATTTATCTGAATTTAATACAAGTACATGTCACATATAAATTGGGTAGCTGAATGAAACTCGTGCCTCAAAATTTTCCGTTATTAGCATTGCAGTGTCCACGCCCTGTACTGCGTTAACGACCGAAATTTTCCCAATATGCAATTATTATTTTGCTTCTAAAATTCTCTGATAATTAATAATATATCGTGACATGTAATTGTAAAATAACAAATCTCGCGCGCGCGGCGCTTACATCTGCACCTGAGAATCTCTCAGCAATGTGTGGCTGTCTGTGCGGCGGGCTGTGTATTGTGTATATAGCTGAATTTAAATTTAGATTTATTTGTAAATGTATAATAATATTAAATATGTATTGATTGTTTTGTGGTAAATAAAAATTTTGTTTTACTAAAAAATTTTGTTTTACTTCTCGAAGCCTGATGCGAATGCTATTAAATAACACGCGAGCTATGGGTCAGTTCATTAACAATAGACAACCTAGTTTTCCTTTTATTTGGTATTGTAAGTGAATAACCTACTTAGACGTGCGCACGCCAAAGTTTGCTATTTAACAATTGATATTTGTACCGCAATGCTGAATGCAACACTGAGCCGCGCTACATACATGCATGGCACGCCATTTTTTACCTGGGGACTTCATGCTATCATGTTTATTAAAATTCGGCGGAATGACAGGCTGAGCGCGGCCGGCAGTAAGCCATTTTTCAAGCTCTTCTTGCGTGAAAGTAGCGAGCAATTGATTAATTGACGATGTGAATTCATCGCAGCTCGGCAAGGCCCGGTAGCGCATCTCGCTGCAATCTAGCGACGAACATAATTGAGTGCGCGGCGCGGCCCAGTAACACATAGCGCTACAAACAAGTGCCTACTGACTAGCAAGTTAGGTAAAGACATTACAAGCTGTGAGATGTAAAGATTTGACTATGGCAGTATATGTGTGTCAAAAAGTAGTAACGTACACATGCGCTACCTAGTAAATTATGGAATGAGCTGCTTTGTGCTTCACCAGTTCACCTAACCGGTTAGGTTAACCATGTGCTTTCGCGCCATTTCGGACGAGCTTGTAATTGTTTCACAAGTCAAGAGGCGGGCGCGCGCTACTGCAAGCGCAAGGGCTCTGGATAGAGCAATGAGCTGCCATTGTTTGAAATTAAGATTTTTACGACTTTAAACTCTTTAAACTACTTTTAAAGTGTATCTGAAAACATATCTTTTTTTACCGTGCTCATAATATTTTACTACTTTTACACTGCACTTTTACTAAGTTGTTGTTTGGTGTGAGCAATAACGAACAGCACGCACATTCCTTTGCCCTGTCAACCTATATCTAATTTATTCATATCAAAAAGTGACAGCCTTGATTGACGGTGTCAACCCATCGAGATCGTTGCTCTGCGAAGCTAATAGCAACGATCGACGATGCGAAGCAAGAATGCTAGCTTTGCGCGGCGCGTCGAATTGCGGCGAAGTCCTCCAAGTGACAGCCATACTACTTACTGGGCCGCGCTCAGCCTGTCATTCCGCCTAATCTCTATTCTATGTTTATGAACATAATAGCCTGAGGTCCCCAGGTAACCATACTACACATTGAATTATAGGATTCCTTTAAATATCAAATTGATTTATTGTAAACTTGTTTATTCTGTAATAAATGGCATAATATTGAAATTTTTAACTAACACATTTTTTGTTTAACTAATAAAGTATTTAAAAACAATATACACATAATTGTCACAATGACCCTATATAAAAACAACCCTTCAAAAAATCAATATATTCCCTATCTCAAATATTGGGAGAAACATTTGAAAATCACCCTTGGCGTTGTGGCTTCCAAATTCAAATCTAAACTATTTATATCAACAAAGTTCTTTCTCGCACCTTTGTCTCCCCGTAGAGAAATCACTGTTGTTCTTAGTATTTCGAAACGAAGGCGCTTCCTTATGTATCCCACAGCATCTGAATACCTTTGCCCTGTGTGGTATTCCATCTTACTAGCCAGCTTCTGTACTAGTCTTTCAGCTTCACCACCCATTCCACCAGACGTTGAGAAAACTAACCGCGTGAAGCTTCCTTTCTCTACTTCCAGAATTGTAACACCGTTTTTTCTCATTTTCATGGGGCTGGTTTAACCTCAAGGGTCAATTCTGGTGTACCTCAAGGGTCAATTTTGGGACCATTGCTGTTCATTATGTTCATTGATGATATATCAGTGGGGATTTCACCAGGCACACAACTGTCACTGTATGCCGATGATACTAAAATTTGGCGTAAGATTGTTTCGGAGTCTGATATCCTGCGACTGCAGAAGGACATTGATTATCTCCATGACTGGTCACTTTCTAATAAAATGAGATTTCATCCCGACAAATGTAAGGTCCTCACCGCAGGAAGGATATCCGAAACAGTTTCCCTCCTTAGTGTCCTACCACTCTTTAACTTTGTATACTCCATGGGAAGAATCACACTTGACTATGTTGATCATGAAAAGGATCTGGGTGTAATTGTGACATCAAATCTCGATTGGAAAGATCAGTGCTCCAAAGTCCTTTCTAAGGCAAACCAAAAATTAGGCATGGCGAGAAGAAATTGTTATTTTGTCCAAGACGTAAATCGTCGTAGAGTACTGTATCTCACTTTAGTGAGGAGCCTATTTGAGCATTGCTCGGTTATATGGAGACCAGTCACAAAATCCCAGATAAGCAAGCTGGAGGGCCTCCAAAAGCGTGCTATTAAGTGGATTCTTCACGAGGAGTATATGAGTTATCCACCATCCACATACATTCAAAAATGCAGACAGCTGAAGATTATGCCGATTGAAGACCGCTTTGACTTCTTGGATCTCATCTTCTTCTTTAAAATTGTGAAGCAACATATACCTGTCACTTTACCCTCATATTTGCAACCATTTCAAGGCCACTCAAGGATCAGAAATAGTCACATGGACTCTCTATGTTTTGTAAGCTCTATCTCACCTCGAGCAAGCTCCAACACTTTTGCCAAGAATTTCTTCTATAGGACCCACACTAAGTGGAATCACATTCCTCTAGATATCCGTGAGATAGAGAGTATCACTGATTTTAAAAGTAAACTTTCCACTTACATGTGGGGGAAAATTATCCCGGTGGATTCGGACTCTGAACTTGACTATTCAATAGAAACAAATCCGTAAAATAGTTTATTCAAGATTATCTATTCTTGCTGTCTGCATTCACATATTTCTCAATTTCATCTCACAGCACAATATTTTATGAATTGATTGAATGGGTGTGTGATTTTGTTTAAAGTAACTTATTACAATTTTATAAGGGCCCATGCTTGTGCAGGAGCTGCATTTGCACTCAATATCTGTGTTTTGGTGACCCTCAGGTCCTTTGGTTACATACATTTTGTCCGAGACAATTTCAACTTTGACAATCCATGCTTAGAGGACAATATTATATTTAACTAATTCATTGTGTAAACTTGTATGTAATTGACTGATTTGAAAGATTTCAATAAAAAAACTGTATTTTCTAAAAGTTTTTTAGCCTGCTGCCATTATTAATCCTTATTTTTCCCTATGTGTTTCTACTGGAAAGTGCATACGGATTAATGTTATATTAACGTTTATTTAGTGTATCAAGTTTGGATGATGATTATTCACTGTACACTCGACTGTCACGTGACTTTTTTAACACGAAGGAAAACATTTTTTTTTCCTTTCCTTACTTAAAATCATGATATGTTCTTATATTACCCCTTAACTCCTCCAGTGGCGTAATGTTGCCTGTTGGCGCCCCCCCCCCCCCCCCACGAAAATGCACCCCCTTTTGGCGCCCCCTCCCCTTTTGGCGCCCATCCCTAAAATTGAACAAATTAGGTGATTTAGAGGATACGCCAGTAAAATCTCTAAAAAAGTGTGTTTCTAGAGCAAAACATGCAGTTTTGCTAGTACCTCGTCAAGTTTTTCAAAATTGTCCCACATTCAAACGATGATTATGTGCCCCCCAAGATGGCGCAGCGCAGCGGGGTCAGCGGGGGCCCTTCGTTACGCCACTGAACTCCTTTTGTGCTTGACAATAATTCCCTATGACAGGGTACCAATTGGTTTGAAAAGGATCAATCCGGACTAACATGAGCAATTGTATCTGAATTTACTGATACAATTTCAAGAACACACGATATTCACATGTTCTAATATGATGTACCATATAATGCAAAGGCAACAAGAACTTAGTTTAATTTCTAAAAGTTTACCAGGCATCAGCTCAATCCCTGAAATCTTTGAAGCTCTTCTAAAAACGTACCATTTTAAACTGTCCCTAGATGAACTGGAAAAACTTTATCGATAACTATTTTTGTCTTATAGCTGGTGTTTGATCTTTGCATAATATGTTTAAGTACCATTTTCTGGCTTTAGTATTGACGATATATTTTCAAGCATAAATTACTTTTCTTAACTTATTTTCTAGAATAACTAGTAACTAGTTTAAGGACTGCTGAGCATGAGTTTTATCTTAAAACCGGTGTTATTAAATTTCAATTTATTATTTTTATGTGATTATCAAAAATATCACATCTATAGATTTGAGGCCTTATCCACCCATTTTATACCATTTTATACCAATTTCGGACCCTATAAACCAAAACCCCTGATTTACTGCAAACCCTGATTTACCGCGGGTTTTTTATTTCCACGATAAATCGAGTTTACTTAAAAGGGCAATGAAACCAACCAGGCACCCACATTGAATGCATGCATAAAAATGCAAATAAAATTCAGGCAAGTGGGAGAATTGTCTTGTTATAAGTTGGTGGCTAGAAGAGTTGGCTAGACATAAATTCAGGCTGGTAATGATGCATTTGCATTTTACTACAAGCTGTGATTTAATGATTGAAAGCACATACTTAATACTGACTGTTTCTTTATCAAGCAAATGGATGAAGTGATCATGATGTGACGAAAGAGTTTAACCTCACATAATGGATGGTTTGTATGATGATGATGGAGAACATAGAATCAGAGTCCTGTTCAATGATCCTGTACACAAAGAAGAAATTGTCGGCAATAAGAACACCATAACAGCAATTGAAGAAACAAAGGTATATTCCTAAGAATCATCTATTATATCCTGTTTTTTTTTCAATTCCTCATATTTTTTATTACTCATTATCATAATATAGCTGTGAATTCTCAAAATATTAGCTTACTTACCTTAATTCAATTAACTGTGTCTAATAGTAATGATAATAATACCACAGGTTCGAACAAATGGGGCTGTTATTATAATTATTTCTATGATTGGCATAATACCTCCTGAGAAACAGAGAATTACACCTTGTGCTGTCAAAGAGACTTGGGTTGGTAAGTAGATACCAGGCAGTCAAAATAATTAGGATTCCTTTAAATATAAAATTGATTTATTGTAAACTTGTTTATTCTGTAATAAACGCCATGAAATTTTTGTTTAACTGATTTTTGTTTAACTGATTTTTGTTTAACTGAATGAGCATTGTTTTTTTTTTCAACTCGATAGAAACGATTTAATTTAATTTTCAAATATGATTTACGGAAGAAAATTTTGTTAAGAACTGTAATCTCTTTGTTTTTCCTCCAAACTTTTATCCGAAATTCTTATTCCACCTGATGTCATTCCTTGTTATTCACAGCTCCTCATTTTCAGATCCGACACAGCTAGACTTGACAAAAGCGAAGACCAGAATCAAAGAGAACCTTAAACGGCAGTTCACATCAATCCTTCCCCAGGCTCAGAAAAAGATAAGCCGTTATAATGACCGCGACAGAGGACCAATTAGAGTAAGCTTTTAAATTACAACTTTTATCACTTAAATGTTATTTTTAACAAGTAATTTATATTGTAAGTCACTTATTATTATTAAGGAAAGTATGCTACACAGACTAAAAGAAAGCACACCGTTTAAAAGGCTAATCCTCGACCCAGGTAGAGATGGACTGTGCTCCAAACAAGGTTTACAGTGCTTGTGATCAAGTCCGGAAGCATGTTGGAAAAGGATACAGAGTGATATTCTATTACAATGGTCACGGAGCGATGTCCTGCAGCCATCCTTCCTCAGAAAATGGAAAATGTATCTGGGTTGTCAATGGTACAATAATGCACTACACAGGTCTAATTGTCTTATTGATTTCTCAATTATAGGCATTGAATATTACGATATCTTTCGCTATTTTATCTGGAAACAAGATTGATCAGAGCTGCATGATTGAAAATTAATCAGTTTTTTTTTGGTTAAAATTGATTTTGTGATTCTACTCTTCTTGATTGGGGCTGTCGACCAATGAGGCTGTGGTCGAAGGAGATTCGATATCATGTTTATATTTCCTGTTCACCAAATAGGAGGTGTGTAGTTTTACCGCTAAAATATGATTCAACGCTTTAACTTTGCGAATAGAGACTTCTTCAACTTGATGTCACTTAACTCAACGTTTTGGTTGGTCGGGATGGGATCGATTCTCCTTGGCTATTGCTCCATTCATGAATTCAGTCATTCATTGTCGGCAGAACCGGATAAGAAGAGATATATCAAATTTGAAACCCCAACAATACTCTACACAGTTGTTCCGCTTGCTACCCTCATGGAAAAGCTTGAAGCTCCCGCGCTCTACATTTGGGACTGTGATAATGCTGGTTGGTATCATTTCTCTTACTTTTATTATTATTTTAATTTATATTCTATATTTACTTATATTATTATTTTATATTTAAAACTTACTGAAGGATTTTACTTTTTCATCGATTAGATAAACATTCCCCATCGTACTTTTGAAATACCCTATGGTTATTGCTAGAATTTGTAAATTTAAAGGTTTTGGTATTTTAAAAATTTGAAACCTTAGTTATAAGGAACACATGTCATAATTTACCATGAAATTTAACGTGTTAATTTGTCTGAATAGCAGGTTCACAATCACTATTACTATTACTATTACTTGTCAGGTCTGATAGTCCAGAGATTTAACGAGTTAGCTCGTGAAAAGAAGGAAGCCTGGAAGAGCAGTTGTAGAGATGCTCCCGAACCTCGGTTTGAGGAAGAATGTCTGCATCTAGCTGCTTGTAACAAAAACCAGGTTTAATCAGTATGATTAATGCATTCTTATTATGTTAATGTTTTCTTAATCTTATCAACAAAATAATTAAAATTGCTGATTTGGTTTATAAGTCTACTTGGTCAAATCCAAAATTTACAATAACTGGTTTGAACGGGAGGCGGGAAGCCCCGATTACTTGAGTACTATCCTCCCATGTGTGTAGAAGTATCTAGATTCTAAAGCCCTTATACAGTTTACAATTTGTTTCAGATGCTGCCCCAAAACCCGGAAATACCAGCCGACCTCTACACGTCCTGCCTCACCTCCACCGTGAAGACAGCCCTACACTACTGGTTCCACCAACAGAAGATAACAAACATTCATATCATAGACTGTATCGAGTATCTGGATAATATCCCTGGAAAGTACAGTGCTAGAAGTACAATGGCCGGAGAGTTAGATTGGGTGCTGACTGCAGTGCTGGACACGCTAGCCTGGCAGATAGAGCCTGACTACGCCAGGTTTAAGGAGCTCTTCAGGAACTGTAAACCTGTGGGTCTGCTCTTCAGGGGTCACATCCTGGCTGACAGGGTAATGAGGGCTTACAATGTTACTCCAGTTACTCACCCTCACCTGCCTTCTCTTGCTGGTATACTACTATCTATTGTCAAATTAACTTTATTGATTTCATCTTCAACTGGCCCCCGGGCAAGATTTCATTTGCATCGAATTTGTCTTAAAAGTTCAATAAAAGGGGTTAGACACTTTTCAGTACGATAAAATGGAGTCGACATTAATGGTACATTGCATCATCTCGTGAGAGTAACGCTAATTACTGGTTACTAGTCACTAATTACTAGTTAATAGGTATAGTTCTAGTTACTGGAGTTAACTGGATTTAACTTCAGGACACCCCCTGTGGAGATCATGGGATCTAGCTCTGGACAGTATCATGACAGAATTATCTCTGAGGAAGATTAGACCGACCCGGCCAGCGCTACACGGTCAGATCAGTACCTTTTTCTTCGATCAGCTAACTGAGTTTAAAGTGAACCTTACTCAGTACGGAAAGTACGATAAAGTGGACTCCAGACAGCTACCAGTCCTACTGCAGGTGGATTATGAAATATCTAGCCACTTTCACCATCAACAGACTTGCTCACAGTTTGTCGTTTCTTGCACAATTTCAGACTCAAATGGCTTTGAACCATCATTAATAACGGTAGCTCAGATACTATAATACTGTAATATATACTTATCGTCTTCTATTCCGTCCACGGGAGCAAAACGAGATGCACGAAGAGTTGTAGGAGTAAACTTTAACTGTAGAATTGTTACTGTAATCCCTCCTCCACTAGATGCTGATGAGCGCACAATACCGTGAAGAGACCCTAGAACTAGTGGGCAAGTTCCTGGACAGAGGTCCGTACGCAGTTCAGAAGTTCCTGGATGTGGGCATCCTACCTTACATCAGACAGTTACTGACGACCCCCTCAAGGGATTATAAGTACATAATGGTCCTCATCTGGGCTAAGGTTTGTATTTCATCGTATGAAGGGGGGGGGGGGGGGGGGTATAGAATGTTCTTAACATGTTCTGAAGGATTGAAGTGGTATTTTTGGCTTAATATTAACTATTTCATGATAACACCCAACTTAACGGGTAACATCTCCCAGATCCTCGCCACAGACAGACGACACTCAACAGCTGACGTGGTGTTGAACCAGCCCGAGTGTAGACGCTTCTTTGTCAACATGTTAAATGATCCTGATATGAGGTCACAGACCAGGGCTATGTCGTGTTTCTGTCTTTCAATACTCGCTAAAAACTCTCAGAAAAACCAGGTTTTTAGGAGTAACTTGAAGTTTTTAATTAGCTTTTGATCATTTTAATTCCTCTTTTAAGTAAAATGGAGGCTGTTATTTACATTTAAAAGGAAACTATCTGAACATTTTATTCAATCATTATATATTCAATATCACAGGAGATACTGCTAGGTGAAAACTTGATCAAAGAACTAGACGACTGCTTGATAGACATGTCGAGCCCGAACAAGTCGAGTAAGCTGCAGAACTGTGCGGTTCTGTGTCTGGCTAACTTGTGGGATAGGAATGAGAAAGCGCTGTGGGCTAGTGTCCGAGCTAACACTATTGATACTCATATTATCAAACTGCTGGACCATCCCCATCCTGAGGTTAGTTTCACTGGGGGGTTACACTGGGGGCCGGGGGGGGGGGGGGGGGGGGGTTACAGTTTACACTGGGGGGGGGGGGGGGGGGGGGGGTTACACTGGGGGGGGGGGGTTTCACTGGGGGGTTTACACTGGGGGTTACACTGGGGGTTACACTGGGGGTTACACTGGGGGGGGGGGGTTACAGTTTACACTGGGGGGTTACACTGGGGGGGGTTTCACTGGGGGGTTTACACTGGGGGTTACACTGGGGGTTACACTGGGGGGGGGTTACAGTTTACACTGGGGGGTTACACTGGGGGGGTTTCACTGGGGGGGGGTTACACTGGGGGGTTACACTGGGGGGGGGGTTACACTGGCTACTAATATTACTGGGTACTGAGTAAGTTACTTTCAACGTGTCAATCTCAACTTTACCTTTTCCAAGCTGATATTTTGCCCTTATTTTCACCCCTTTGTCTGTGATAAATTTACCGCCCACTATGAGTAGAACACTGACCACACCTCCCATCAGACGCGGACCTCGGCAGTGTACGCGCTAGGAACCTTCCTGAACACTCGCAGAAAAGAGAGCGATCACGGAGAGAGTATAGAACACAAGATAGCTTGTAATCTCCTCAAGTCCTGTGGGGATGGATCATCTCTTGTTAGAAAGGTTAGATCTTCCTAGGAGTATTCAAGTAAAATAAGCCGATAACATTTTATGCAAGTCTCGCCATGGGAACCAGATTTAAACATTGTGTTTAACATTGTTTAACATTGTTTAACATTATTTAACATTGTTTAACATTGTTTAACATTGTTTAACATTGTTTAAAATTGTTTAACGTTTTTCAACGTTGTTTAACATTGTTTAACATTGTTTAACATTGTTTAACATTGTTTAGCATTGTTTAACATTGTTTAACATTGGGTTTAAGCCACGCTAAAAAAAATCGTAAATCATATTAAGAATAAATCTGAATATGTTGCAAGATGAAGCCATGGTGTATTTTTTGCTGAACGTGAAATCGATTATATTGAATTTTGAACGCTGAATCCTCAATTACACATATAATTGTTTAAACGTGCCCTTTTTTCTGACACCGTGGCTATTATCATAATTTTTCCAAGAAAGGCTCTATAATATTCTACATATTTAATATTCTGAAGTCATGATATAGGTCTCATAACTTAAAAGATTATCTCCCACAATCTTTTTCATATTCAAAATATGTCTCGTGTATCTATATTTACGAATTCAAGCCAAATCCGTTGACGTCATTTTATCTCGTTGGGTGAATTCAAAACATGCTGACCATCTCGTCCGGCGTTCCCACTTAATAGAATATATTATTCGAGGGTTGGTATGATGCCGTCATCTGATTCCTGCAGTTACATCTGTTAAAAGCATAGTTAGTAATTGAACAATCGTATTGTAATGCTGTGACAGGTTAACCCATATATCCATGATAAATTCTATAAAATGCAAAGAAACACTCTAATTCATCCATTACAACCATTACAACCATTTCAACCATTAGAACTTTGAGATGGAATGTTCGACTAAGTGCCAACCATAAAACCTAAACTTTATAGCCATTTATTGACGCTACCCTCTCTGAGAAGTTAGCCGTCTGTTATAATTTAGTTATAGCTTCAAGACGCAGGGAGTCCATTTCGGGGACCATTATACGAAAAACTACGATGGGAAAGAAAGATTCTGCAGTAACTGACTCCTCAACTGTTAGCAAGAGCAAAGCCCGGTCTGGCAAAATGCCAACATTACTTCCTAGGACGTCTGACGATCATGGCTTCAACAACTACTACATGCCTGATTACTTCGGGGCGGGAGGCAACATGAAACAGAGCGAACAGGAACTAGACTGGAACACTTACATGAACAAACCCATGTCACAGCAACACATTATAATAGCCAAGCTGAAGATGTTCTGCGAAACCAAGTTTGATATTGTGATTCTGGGTAACGACCAGGAAAAGAACAGGATGTTAGGCAACATGATGTTTAAATGTTTCCTGGACCCTCTGGGTAAGGAAATTGAGGACCACATTGGTATATCGTATGCAGAAGGAAGAGCAGGAGCTAACCTGTCGCTCAGTCTGGACAAATCAGAGGATACTAAAATGATAAAAGACATGCTGGCAATTAAAGAAGATAAGATAAGGTACACGCTGATAAACGTGCTCAAAGTGTACGGTTTGGGGCTGAGGTTCCACATTGCAGGGAGTATTGATAAAAGTGAGAAGATTGCATCGAGCGTGGCTCAACAACAGATCAATGTCATGGCGAACTACCTCAACTTCAAGAAGAGGTACAAGTCAGGCTTTGGAATGAACACTTTTCTGTTGATTTTGGAGAACAACGGGAAACTGAATAAAGGAACCAACTGCATGATTGAACTGATGATATCTGTTTTCAATTTGGAAGTTTTTAATTCGATGATTTTCCTCATTGAATTGTTGGATGGTTCTGGAGAAAGTGGGCAGAAGCTGGTCAATGAAGCAAAATCTAACATTTCTCAACAAGCTTGCTGTAAACCAGAGCTTGTTCACATATTTCCAATAAGACCTCTCATGAAAGAGCTAAAACAAACTGAAGACGAAGTAGCTGATAGAATGACGGAAACAGCAGTCGGTGCAACTTTGAAGATATTAAACGAGGTGGCAAGACAGACCTACATAGATCCCAATCCATTCGAGCCGGAGGGGATGTCCTTCCATGATTCTGTAGCAGCAGTAGAGACGGTGAAAAGGAAATACCAGCTCAAAGAAAGAGATTGGTGTGAAATTATCAACCATGTTTATACCATGATACCTAATTAGTCTCACTTCGCAGTCTCGTTAATGTGTTCTGAAAGTCTAAAGAAGCAACTACTCTCTGTAAATATTTGAACTGAGACTGTGATGTAACATTGTTAACATAGCTATAGTTTTCAAAAACTGTAATATCTGTTAAATGTTCAAAAGTATAGTGTGTTGATAATAATATTAATTTCGTTTTTATGTTTTATCAGTTACATGATGGAATAAGATTGAAGAGAATGAACCAGCAGCTTTCTTGGCAAATTTTCTTCTAACACTCAGAAGTTGTTATGTTTGGAATTAAATCAAATGAAAGAGTCGATTTTGATGGCAATGCAATACTTACTTTAAAATTTTAAATTTTAATCGCAAATATCGTTTTTATAATGAGATGCACACAATTTGACACAAAGTTGCGGCGTATAGCGTATACAGTATAATACTTGGCATCATTTAGCAATAACGTCAGTGACTTAGTGGATAGTGTTTCGAGGATAATATCAGTGTTTCTCCTCTCACATGGAAAAGAACACACTAAATATTGGAAGGTTCTCAATTGTAAGGATGACTTATTGTCTTTAACAGCCCCTGAAGGCATCACGGCGGGCTTGTAATGGTTGCTGCTTGACTTGTTTGTAATTTTGGCTCTAGAAGAGGGTCTACTGATATTTTAGACGGAAAGCCGAAGGGCGGTCATAAATTTAAGGCCTTTATCGCGCTAGATTGGGCTGCCAAATTTTTGTGCGCGCTCATGTGTGCGCGTTATGTATTGTATTGCAATTCGACCACACGCACAACACACAACGAAATGTCGAACCAAATAAAAGGGAATAAACAACAAAGCGGGAGCTTGTCTATACTCTCTACTTCTCGCTGTCAAAGTATGCTTCAAAAATAAGAAAAAATAAAGTTTCAACCAGCCACATAACTGATAACACAAAAGTTTTATTGGTTACCAAACCAAAACAAAATATACAGTATAATCCAAAATTTGAGAAATCACTCGGAAGCTAAAGTATGGTAACTGAAGGTGGCATTAAAATCAACTCTCATCAAACAAAATTCAGTCATAAAATAATCGCTTACCTACAAACTTCACGAAATTGTCCCTCTGTGATGTTAGCTTGGATTTTAATTGATAAATTTGTTCACCTAAATCAAAATGAAAGTGGCATGAATATGCAGTTGCTTCTATGGCATAAATATAGCTAATACACTAAAGTTACATAATCTGGATTATATTTATTAATTGGTACAGTCTGTGGTAGAAAAAGTGAACTTAAACCCGACCACATTCAGCTACAAGCTGGCTGTACTGTTTTTCATGATATTATATGATCACAAATTTACATTACACCAGGTGTTGAGGAGGGCACGCCTATTTTCGACTATATCGGAATCCGATATGTACATTAAGTCTCTTTAGATGTTTAGCGTGTATTATTATTCAGGAAGTTGTGGTAGCCCTCTCGAGATATGTCCAGCAGTACGAACAAAAGTTTCTGAGTGCCGCACTAACTTATACAGACGATTTGGCCGCTAAGGCGATGCAACGTGTGTCTATCTGCGAGGACGAGGAATCTCTTAGCAATTCTGTTATATCTTGTAAGTTTTGGAGTCGCACATCACGGCTCACGATATTCTTGTTGTAGCAAAGCAAATTAGGTTAGGCAAAAACTTATCACAAATCAATCTCCATGATCGACTGTATTTTGTTAGATATTTTTACGAGAATGGAACGCTTCCCAGTGGTACCAAGAAGACGTTTGATGATCTGAACATCCTCACTATCCATAAAAACATTGCAATATGTTCAGCCATTTTCATGCACAAGCTTTTTAAATTCAGTAATCTCCTCCCTAGATCCGATGGATAGCTGCAAACATCGGATTGTGGGGTAATGAGAAAGCAGATGAGCTGGCCAAGATTGGCACAACCAGTGAATCCACTTTGGAAGTGCCCTATTCCACAATCTTACATCAAACGCCTGATCGACGACAAAGTCACCAGACTTAATCAGGAAACCTGGTTAACTGGGGGGGGGGGGGGGGGGGGGTTAACTGATGGACCCAGACACACTAAACTGACACTCGGTCACAAACACATCAACATCATCAAAAATCTTAACAATACACTCAGCAACAACAGACAAAATTACAGAACTGCACTGCAACTCATCACGGGACATTGTGGCTTAAACAAACAGTAAACACCTCCATACCATTCGCAAATCAAGCACCAGTGCAGAGTGCTTGTCCTATGTGCGGCGACGGAGAGGAAACTTTCTCACACTTTCTAGGACAGTGTCCGGCTATTGCCCAAATAAGAGGTCAATATTTCCAGGACTATTACCTCTCCGTCAATGACATATTCGACAACCAACACATCGCAAACCGCACCAAACGCTTAATTGTGCCGGAGGAGCTGTACCAGACTGGTGTGACAAAGCGACTACTCACATGTTGTCTTAGTTCACCTTTCTCTTCCACACCCAGTTGCCACTTAAGCGTTCATACACGACACATCTTACAACACTTACCATCATCCTACATTACACATTCTGATTACCCCCGGCATCCTCCCATAGGACTGACATACCCGGTACCCCAGAGGTAGGCAAATCATCCACATGCTATCCTCTCGTGGGCCATCCAGGCCAAGCCTCTCTTTAAAAAATAAAAATAAAAATAATCTCCTTCCTAACTCAGTGCATGGAACATTTCCTCAGAACACTCCACACCCTGATACAATCAGCTTTGGGGAAAATAAAAATGGCTGGAAATTTACGGGCCAATTATTTACAGGAATTCCGTCTTCTTCAAAGGACCACTGTTGTGTAATATGATTTTAAAAGCAGAACCAACCCCACCATCAATATATCACTCAATGAACGTCTTCAAAAATCTCACAAAAGCGGTCCTGATTAAAATACAAAAACAAGGAGAACTTAATACCTGGGAAATTGAAAATATTTGTGGACTCCGTCAGTCCTCTAGAAATCACGAAATTCCGACTTTAATGTACACGGAGAACTAGTAACCTAACGCGATAGTTAACTCTGCAATTTTTATATCACTGACCGAATGTTAACATTGTAACGTACCAAAACAAAACGTATATAATATATATTGAATGAATTTAAATTGTGACAGAATTTTCTACCAACACATTCATTAGCGCTCCTGGCGACTGACTAACTCGATTAACAACTTTTTTAATGTTAAACCCTATCTAAATTTTCTTCTAAAAACAATATCAATTTAAAATTTTAATAAGAAACGTAATTTGACGAAACCACCTGCACCACGAAGTCGCCAGAGCTACTCACGTTTTCTATGATTGATGTAAATAAAAGACGTTAGTGCCGAGTTTACTTCTGGTGAACTCCCCAAACAAACAGTATCAAAGCACCTATAGACTATCACCCACCCCTTCCCACGGCCCCTTAATTAAATAGTTGTAATCCAGATGCATCGGAATGTGAGCATAGTTAATCAGTTTAAATTTTCAGCCAGCTCGCCTTCATTCGACTCTAGCAGGAGCAAGAAGTTATCCATGAAGAGCTCCTTGCTCTCACCTCAAAGCAGACTCACCTCCGGGAACAAATTTGTGGAGACTTGGAAAGTAAGTTTTAACTTTTTAAAAAATTAATTTGAAGATTTCATTAGTGGTAATATTTTGTGTTCTCCACTTTTTTCACAATTATATCATCTGTACTCACAGTGTCTCAAAGGACTCGAAAGAGACCCCCACCAAGAAGTTCGTAACCTTTCAGCCAAAGTGGTCTTCTACATCGAAAAGAAAATCCCAAAAATCAACAACAGCCGCAAATCATCAGAAACCGCCATCGGGTAAGAAATTCGGCAACATTAACTTTTTTTGAACCTTTCCAAATTGTTCTCAGGCTCATTAGTTCGAGTAAGACGCGCTTTTATTTCAGAAGTGACTCGTCATCTGAGTCTAGCAGCTCTGGATATGTTATTATTTTCAGAAGTGATTCATCTCCAGAGTCCAGGAGCTCGCCTGGATCGAATATTTCTAATTTAGGAGTCATGGGTCCCACCAGCCCGATCGTGTATCATTACAGCCAGTACAGCTCTAAAAGGACTATCTTCGGCAAGGGCCCAAAGGTTTTTATTTCTTCTTATTTTAGTAATAATGTTGTTGGAATATTGCATTATTCTGAAAGCTAAAAAGTCATATCGAACAGGCCCTGATTAAAATTTTCCAAATTTATCAGATTTATCAAAATACAATTATCTTGATTGACATGCCAAACTCAATGTTATAAAGGAAGATTACGAAGAAGAACGTCCACCAACACACCCTGAGGAGAGCCCTGCCCTCATCGTATCTACTGAGTTCTCCGACTGGTGTGAAGCCTCATTTGCTAAACCGCTCCTGTCACGGGACCAGGAATTAGACCCTAACTCTGAGCTTTTCGCGCTTAACCAGATCAGAGATAGGAAACATGCTGAAAAGAAGAGAAAGGCCCGGGCGGAACTTGAGAAGAGAGGTACTTCTTCGTTTTTTCCGCTTGTAATTTTTGGTCAAAAATCATAGCTTGTGTATTAAACTAATAATATAACATGTTATAGATTTCGTAAATTTAATGACTGTTTAATATTCCTCAATTTTTTAGGTCACGAAAGAATAGAAGCTCAAATTTTTGGTATCAAACACAACTGCCGCCCCCACAGAGTTAACTTTCATCCTTTCGACCCTTACATTTATGTTGTTGATGATACATATTGCAGGTGGGTCAAGTTCTTACTAGTTTTAGCTGAAACCACATCTGGAGACTTGCTCTTCAAAGTTTAAACCAAATCTTAAAAATCAAATTACCACCTTTATAAATCAAATTACCACCTTTATAAATCAAATTACCACTTCAGTATCTTGGATTTTGGTTGCTCACGAACAGTTCACAAGTTTGAGTGCTGTGACCGGAGAGGGAAAGCAAGAGATGCCATTTTACTAAATCCCCACAAAAAACCACTTCTTTGCGTTGTTAACAACGAAGCTGAGATTTTCATATGGAGATCATTCGAGGATCCCCAAACCTTTTCCCTTGCTAGCGCCTTCAAGGCGTTTGGCGAGGGGGTCGTTAAAAGTAAGTTACTTTTTTATTTGAAAATTCGATTAATTATTATATTATATGAGAATCAAGTGTCACATTCCCTCTGTTTTCATTCAATAAGTTAGTCCAACTCTTTCTGAATTCCGTACTGAAGATGGAGATCTAAATGACCTACATTCCAGAAATACCAATGATCCTAACATACGGCGAGTTCACCTCCAACCTGTTCGTAACTGGACAAGTTAAGAGGATAGTACGGTGGAACGTCTTCAAGGAAACCAGATACCCAGATATTCAGACTATGACAGAGATGCCTCTTACCTCCATGACTGTGTTCGACAGGTTTTAGAAATATTATTTATTTTATTGTTAAAGTTAAATAACTAATAAATGGTGAATCAGCTTCCTCCCTTGAGGTGAGCCATCTAATAGGGAGTTTTTAATCCAGTTTTAGCAGAGTTAACAAATCAAATGAATTTCAGAACTACACCCGACGCCAGTGATCAGCAAGAAAACCTGTTATTAGCCGGTTTTTATGACGGAGTTTGTAAGCTTTTTGACCTCCGGATCCCCACACACAGCCAGTAAGTACCGGCCCCACTTCTGATGATACGTTGGGCTCGTATTTGCTTTAAATTATTTATCATAATTTTCCATAAGTTTTGAAAATGATAAATACAGTAAGCCTCAATTGTACAGTACAGATATGTTCTATCCAAATAGTTTAATTCACTGTAAATATAATTTGCCACTGCAAAATTACAGTTAATTTAACACCTGTCCAATCTTACACCTATCTTCTCAGAATTGTTCAGCGTTTCGGTGAGACAGTAAGGAGCAAGTCTACAGCAGTAGTGAACGTGCACATAAAACCTAACAACGACAATAAGATCATCTATACAGCACACAGCTCAGGAGACATGTGCTTCTGGGACCTCCGCAAATCAAAATGTCAGTTCAAATCTTAATTCAGCTTGAAAGTTTCGGTTATTTCATTTTGTCGGTTATTTCATTTTGTCATTTTTCACATCCTTTAAGTCTTATTTGTAAATAGAAGCTCTTTTATCTTGCCTTATCTCTTATCTCTTATCTCATCAGGTGCTGCAGGTATAGACCGTTATCAGCCGTTAGCTCACGAAGCTCCTAAGACGCTGAGCGTGGTCAGCAACAACCTTAAAACTGTGGCCTTTCACAACTACGCCCCCGTAATGGCTTGTGGCTCTCATGATCAGGGAATCAGGTTAGAAATCAGTTTCTCTTTATCAGTTTCTCTCTCTGTTTATCCTCTGTTGCTCTCCTTGGTGGTGTTATAGTTATAACACCAACATCAGTATACGGTGTTTCCAGTTATTTGATGTTTCTATAGCTAGATTCTAATTTCTATAGCTAGATTTCTTAGCTTAATTTTTGGCATTTTAGAATAGTTCTGTTTTAAATATATTCTCATAAGGATCATCAACATTCAACAGCCATTACAAAAAAAATAATTTTTCAGGATATGGAATATATGGGGCGACAAACTAAACGACATCAAGTTCCACGAAGGGTTCATGGGTCAAAAAGTCGGGCCCAGCATCTCTCTAGCTTTCCACCCGTTCGATTACAAGCTTGTCTCAGCAGGTCTGGACAACTGTGTAACCGTGTACGGGAAATCAACCCAACCTCAGAGTCTGCGGTATTAAGGGTCGGTGTCTACTAATTTGTGTCACTGGTTTTCATACTGTATAATTGAGAATGTTTTATGAATGATGCGAGCTGTTGAGAGAATTATTTTAATTTTTAATTGTGGTGAACTGATTAAGTTGATTAGATAATTGAGTTAAATGATTGTTGCTGTATGACAAGATAGCAGGGGAACAAAACTCTCATAAGAATTTGTATTATTTTTCAAATAATTTATTATTTTGTAAACTTCTAGATGAGATTACTTAAGTTGTTCCTTTATAATGTAATTTGTTAACGGGTCTTTAAAAATTATACGGGACAATTTATGTTGAGCAATTGGTGCTTACGTGTTTTTAATAGATTTTATTTCAACCATGTTAAACTTTCCACTTAGTGTTTGGGTTAAGTACTGCCAGGTTTTGGCAAATACCCATGTGAATGAATGTTCAGTGCATAATATTACTTTTTAAGGTTTACAAGCGTAGAATCTGACCCCAATTATTAGCGCCTTTTTTATAGCCTACTCGGACCTCTAATTCTTTTTATTACGGTTTGTGGCTAAATCTGAACAACTCGTTTTATTGTGTCTATTGTTGCATATGATATTTGTCAAACGTTGTATGACCCGCCGCGCACGAAGTGCGCGGCTCCCCCTGTTACTGGGCTGCGCTCATCCTGTCATTCCGCCGAATCTTTATTCGGTTAAATGTGTTAATGAAAATAATAGCCTGGGGTCCCCAGGTAACTCCCCCTGTATCGTCAGGACGATAAAGGGTGAAACGACCGTGGGTGTCACAACGTGATACAATATGATATCACTTGATATACGTTGTATACCTCTTTTCTGTGATAAGAGTTATACAACGTGTATCAAGGGTTAGGGTTTCGAATACAGAATATAGTCATTCAGGTCCACCTAGTACATAGTAGATATAGAACGTGTTCGAAATGTCATGTGACAGTCGAGTATATGGTGTAGATTGATCAATCATCATCCGTGTTTGCCGGAGTGCTGACCACCTTGACCATTGTTTATGGTTTGGCCCGGCGCGCAATGCACTACTGGGTCGCGCGCGCGCATCCAATAATGCTTCTCGCAACCTTAAGCAGATCGGCGAGATGCGAAGGATTGACATCGTGAATCAAGCTACTTCGTAGCACTTGCCGTCGGGCCATTTCGAGATTACTGGGCCGCGCTCAGCCTGTCATTCCGCCAAATCTTTATTCGGGCTGAGTGATTTACGACCTCCATCGCCTTTACTGGGCCGCGCTCAGCCTGTCATTCCGCCAAATCTTTATGTTAATGAACATAATAGCCTGGGGTCCTCAGGTTATTTCGAGAAGAAAGCGGCGCGCGCTACTTCGTTGATCTGACGGATGTTACTCGTCTAAATTTCTTCGAAGTAGCGCGCGCCGCTTTCTTCTGACCCGATGGCAAGTGATACGACGTAGCGCGCGCCGGGCCTGATCATTAACAATGGTCAAGTTACTTGGAAGAAATTTAGACGAGTAACATCCGTCAATGACCACCTTGTACTCATATCAGGGAGACTAAATGCTAAAGTGCAAAGAAACTGCTGCTGTCGCGCGCCCCCATTTGCAGCAGTTTTATGCATGTCTTTACTGCGCAGCGCGCGTTCACATAACCATTTACCTGGGGACCTCAGGCTATCATGTTCATAAACATGATAAATAGAGATTAGGCGGAAATAGAGATTAGGCGGAATGACAAGCTGAGCGTTCACATAGCAATGTGTATACGCGTACTGTTCACATAGCCATGTGTCTACGCGTACTGCGTGACGCGCTTGTTTCACAAGTAGAATATATACCTCCTTTGCCGCCTTCGGCAGTCGCGCGCTACTGCAAGCGAGAGGGCTTTGGTTAGAGCAAGGCTGAGCGCAGCCCAGTAAATAGCCATTTGTCATGCATTGTATGACCCGCCGTGCACGAGTGCGCGGCTCCCCTGTATCGTAGAAACGCTAAATTGTAAGTAAAACAAAATTTTAAGTAAAACAAAATTTGAATTTTATTGCCATTACAATGAATAATGATATCATAATAGATATAAGTAGACATCCGATAATAAACTTGTTACATCCAGTACAACCCAAGATGTCAGCCGACGCGACTTACAAAATAAAGAAAGCTAGCATGTTATGTTCATTGTTCATAGTTTTTCTAACGAGCATGCTTAGCACTTAGGCTGTACGGCCGGAAATAGCTTTAATTCTTCGTCATATTAAAAACTTTACATCATTTTTGAGATACAAAAATGAATTTTAAAATAAATAAATCTTTTGCTGTTTAGGCGCGGCACCGCGCTTGACCCACATGCTATACAGTGTGTAGCAACACAGCGCTGAAAACAGAAGCTGAATGAGCTATAACATATAAGCGGTGCGTGCGCCGCGCATAAACCTAAAACCATAAACTTTAAATATTGTCAAGATATTAAACGAGTTTTGCAAAATAATATAGCATGCTGACTTCGTAGGATATTACAATTATACCAGTGCCAGTTTCAAATGTGAGTCAGCGCTTAAACCAAAAGCAGTTGGAAAAAGGAGCCAGTTGCCTGCAAGAGCTTTACTAGCACCCGATTTACCACTTTTGGAGCACAAACTCAAACCTAAAACCGGTCAAGCACAAAAATATGTTATCGCCACGATTGGGTGGATTGATTCCCAGAATATTTATCAGCACGCGGCACTAATAATATATGAAGTTCATTATCGAATTTTAGATATGCCCTGGATCGTTTAACACATATATAAAAGGTTATTAAAGATTAATTAATGTTTGGTTCGTATATAAATCGATATTAATCAATTATTTAAAATAGTATTTGTGTTTGTTATTATTAACTATTGAGTTGCGTTCGATTTAAATATTAAAACACTACTACAATACATTTCACAAAACAAAACGACGGGGACACAGAAAGGAGAAGGACAACACATCACACGTAAGGAAACTGCTGCTGTTGACGAGTATCTGATTATATTAATTATGGGTCTTTTGTTCATTAAAATAAGTGTGATCATACTTCTAGAGTATATTGGGCTGACACAGTTGCTGCAAGGTTAACATTGGTGTCCAAAACCGGGAGTGTGATACAACTTAATTTCGCGTTACGTAGTAAGAGATACAAAATATAAAATATAAGTCACTGTAGGTTCACGGATATAGCGCGGCTTCATTTCATTATTCTGGCGCGGTAAATCACGCTGGGTAATGAAATGATAGAGTTATACAATATTTAAGTTTCGCGCGCTACGTTTACACAATATATTTGTGAGTCCGTCCCACGTTCCAGACGAACACTCCAGACAAGTCCAGACACTAGTGTAAAGCGGATGAGCTGATCAGTGTTTTGTGTTATATGCGTGAATATATAGTTTCTATGTTTGACTGTGGTGTGTATTGTGTGTGTTATTTTGTGTGTGTAGTATGAAATCTATATGGACTAGTTTGTAAAACGACAATGGGGGTGTCGACATGATAGAAATATTTTACGAATATCACCTGTGACTTGGGCTTTGGTTAGAGCAACTACTGCATGTGTCGCGCATCAAATAATGCCTCTTCACTAGATCGGATAGATATTGCACCACTGGGCCTTGCCGCGAGCGGTAAATTCACATTAAGCAACTTATATTGCAGTCCCATTTATCAATTAGTATATCAAAATATGTCATTGTAATTTTGCATGGCTGTAATGTAACGCTTGATTAATATATATAACAATTAATTGAATTTTCAAATAAAAAATATGTGCAGGGATGAGGTTGTATGAGACTTCTGATAGATTTGATTGATTGAAATAAATTTTCGTGCACATACAGAATGAATGGTTAATAATTTAATATATATGTAGACCAAGCTCTGTGCACGGGATGCTTCCTGGAAGAATCCAGTTCTTTTAGCGGGGCACCCTACCTAAAGCCAAATTGAGATATAATAATCATATTCCTAGAGAAATAATCAGAAATCGAATACCAATCAAATAATATGATATATATGAGTAGTAACCATATTTACTATGCAAAATGCCCCAACCACATAGTGTAAATTTATATAGAATTCAAATTCCATATCATCATTAAACCTCAATACCTAGTCAATATAATAGCCCAAGCAAAATTAAATAACTTCTTATATACCTTACTGTCATACTACAAATTAATTAAACATTTGAAATCTGTTGACCAGAGAATAAATTTCTAAGCCTAATGCAAGTGAAATAATTTAGATGCAATAATGAATGCCTAATGTGAGTATCATTTGTCAATGTCCTTGTAAAAAAGTCTGTACAAGAGATATGAGTAACTAATATAGAAGAAAAAACAGGAAGTTGTCGTCTGTTGTAAAATAAATAAAATATCTAGAATATAAATTAATAATAAATAAAATAACATTCAGTCAATGTGTCGTCAATAAACTGTACAATTATCAAATGTTAAAACTGGGTGATACAGTCACCAAAAAAAAATACTAAGTATGATAAGTTAATAAATTAAATGTGGTCTATAAAACTACCACTAAGTATAATAGGTCAATAAATTAAAAGTGGTTTATAAAACTACCACTGTGGGAACCCCTTCTCCAGTTAAAACATGTCAGTCATGTGCAAAATCAATCAGAATGGTAAGGTGGTAAAAAAGGGAATATCTTTTCGATACATCAATTATATATGCCTCAGATTTAAAAGAATTAGAAGTTACTTAGTTATCGGCGACTATGATTGCAGTGTAAAATTTGTCATATGAATTGTCGACGGTATAATTAGGGTCTGTTGTTATAGATGATAGTAGCTGTTTCTTATACGAATCACTAAAGCTTTTAACATCGGGCAGATTTCGTAGATCTGTTGGAACATTATTCCAACATTTTGCCCCCAAGTATTGAAAGTTTTTATGTGATGTTGATCTATTGACATAAAGGTTGCAGCTTTCGCCGCTCCTACTACCTCCTGATATGTAACTAAATTTGTTCATAAAGTTTGTAGGACAATTGTCATGGATGATTCTAAACATATAATTTGACAGATGGAGTTGTCGTCTAAGATGGAGTGGTAACCATTTCATGTCTCTATAAACATTAAGGCTGCTCTCTGTTTTTGGAACGTTGAGAGCTATTTTGGCTACCTTTTTGTACAGAGTGTCAAGTTCAGCAAGTTTTGTCTTGCCAGCTCTACAATAGATCGTGTCTAAATAATCGAATTGTGGCAACATGAGTGCATTGGCAAACATTTTCCTATATTTAATGGGTAGCAGTGCTTTACTTCTATACATGGCACCAATTCTCTTCATGACCTTCCTAATAATATAATCTACATGGCTTTTGAAGTTTAATTTACTATCTAGAATGAGGCCAAGATATTTTGTCTCTTTGCACTCCTTGATTGTGAAAGTTACCTCATTACAATCAATGGTTATTTCATCATGTTGGTCAACAGAATCAAACAATAGGAATTCAGTCTTCTTTTCATTGAGTGATAATTTATTAACACTGAGCCATTTAAAGATTGTCATAAGTTCTATTTTCATGTTTATAAATGTGCTTCTGCAGGTTTGATCAAAGAATAGTGCACCATCATCTGCAAATAGATAGGGCTTAGATAGGTTACAGGCATAAATGATGTCATTTATGAAGATACTAAATAATATAGGCCCAATGATGCTTCCTTGTGGTACACCACTCAGAACTTCTAAAAATGAGCTTAGATTGCCATTGATCCTAGTGCATTGATATCTACAAGATAAGAAGTTCTTAAACCAGGTTAAAGCAATGCCACCAATTCCATAATATGCCAATTTTTGAAGCAATATTTCATGATTCACTGTGTCAAAGGCCTTCTTAAGATCAAGAAAGATGATTCCTGGTTTATAAGACTTAGATTTACTCATATATATTTCGTCCATCAGATCGTACATCAGATAAGTTGTGGAGTGATTTTTCCGAAAGCCATATTGATGCCGGATGAAAAGTTTGTTCTCTTCCATGTAATCAGTGAGTTGCTTGCCGACAAAGTATTCTATAAGTTTTCCTACAAGTGGAAGGATGGATATTGGCCTGTAATTATTAGGATCATCTTTCATTCCTGCCTTATGGATGGGAGTTACTCTAGCTTTTTTACAAAGGGTTGGTACAACACCTGTATTAAGGCTCAGATTGACAATGTGGGTCAGTGGCTCAACTATGTGTGGTACAGCTTGCTTAAGTAAAAATAGAGGCACATTGTCATATGAGGCCTTGTCATTCTTGAGCGTTTCGACATACATTAGGATATCAGTTTCATTTATTTCTTGGAATCTATCAAATGAGATATTAGAAGTTCTAGGAGGTAAAAAATCAGTAAAACTAACTCTTTCAATATTGGGGGCCTGATTTTGTAATCTTGATCCAACATTTGCAAAATGAAAGTTAAATAGCTCAGGATCATTCTCATTGATAGTTTGACAATTAGTTGTACCAGGGGTCATATTTGATGCCAGTTTGATAGTTTTCCATATCCCTTTAAGATCATTCTTGGCACTTTTAACTTGTAGATCATCGATTACATTAGCCTTTTTGCAGGTTTTAGCTAATTTATTTCTAATATTTCTCTGAATCTTGTAGCAATCCCAGGCCTCATTACACTTTATACATTTGCTACATGTACCACATTTATTGCAATTTCCATTGTCTCTCTTATCCTTCTTTTTACGGAATTTCTTTAGAAGAAAATGTGTATGATTAATGGCATATAAAAGTTCAGTAGAAGGTTTATGTATGAACTTTTCATGCCTTTCTATGGTCTTGCAAGGGAAGAAGGTTGCATATGCCTGTTCAATATGATGACAAAGGCCAGCTGTGATAGCTTCAACATCTGTACTTTCCAATAGTGGACTGTAATCAGAACAGGTGTCTAGATAGTCTAAGAATTGTTTAACATTACGTTTACAATGATTTCTAATTTCAACCTTATCAAATTTAGGAGCTATAGGTACTTTACAATCTATCTCACACATAATAGCTTGATGATCTCCAATACGTTCATCAAGAACAGAAGATTGGACAAAATCTGCATAACAGTTAGTGAATATTACATCAATAGTAGTCTGGGTAACATTGTCTCCACGTTTAGCAACTCTAGTTATCCCTTGAATGGTTTGAACTAGATTGTAACATCTCAAGGTCATATCTAATTTTTTGTACTGGGTGGATGAGATATTATTCTGGTCAATGTTTATATCCCCAATCCAGATAACCTTTTTCCCATTCAATTTTTTCATGCAAAAATGAATGTATTCAATAAAGTTATCAACACTGCAATAATTTCCAGAGCGATAGAAGCAGCAAACATTGATCTTGCTATTCTTAAGCTTCACCCATAATGCTTCAATGTTATCAAGCTTACTATCCATAACTAATTCTGTGTAAGCTAGTTTTTTGTTTATCATTAAGCCATAACCACCCCTAGAACTGTTTGGCCTGTCGCATCGCATAAGGTTGAAGGAGGAAGGAATATTTATGGTGTCTGTGTCAATAGTATCATTAAGATTCATCTCATTTAGGGAAAGTATGTCTAATTTATGATCTCTAATAAGTTGGGAAAGTTCATTACTTTTAGCTAAATTGAGAAGCCCTCCTTGAATGTTACAATGACCAATGCAGAGGTTGTGAAACCTATCAGCTGCATTATTAAAATTTGTCATCTTGTGAATCTTATTAATTCACAATGGAATGAATAAAAGTTGTAAAGTTGTGTTTAAACTAAAAAAACAGAATAAAAGCAGGTTGTATTTGTCTGGATGTCGTACTGTAAAAATAAAACTGATGGTAGGAGTGTTATGTCAGTATTCAGCAGTATTCTAATGGTGTGCATGATACTTCAAGTGCCTTGCTAATTTAACTATGCCATAATCATTGAGATGGACATTATCCTCTCCATAACTACTAAAAAATGACGATTTTCTAAAGCCTTTCTTATCACTAAACAAGAAACGATTTGTCTCGGTTGAGAGCAGTTTTACATAGGTGTATTTTCTTTGCAGATTTGATATACACTCATTGATATCAGTTATAACCTTGTTTCTGGAGAAACTCTCCCGAGGTAATAAGTTAACAATTTTAATATCAGCTCCAGGTGCCCACTTGTGAAGGAAAAGTACAAGTTTTTCAATACAATTGTTTGTAAAGTCAAGAGCTCTAGCATCACCAGAAAAACTATCAGGGCACAGAAGTTTAGTCCTCATGTTGCGAGGGCTGTTCAGGATAGAGTCCACGTCATTTGTACCACACATAAGTACAATGCTTTTCACATTATTGGTATTAAGAGTGTCTTTTCTTACATCTGATTGAAACCGTTCATTGATTGCATTGGCTGTGGCACCAGGGTAGCTGAATACATGTGCCTCATGATGTTTGGACGATAGCTTTTCTCCCTCTAATTTGGAGAACATACTAGAGCTAATGTAGACACACGAAGATTTACCAGAATGTTCTATTGATCTAGTCTTAGGGGCCGAGGGTTCGGTGTTCTTAACTTGACTGGAAACATCAGACAGAGTAGATAAGGTTGCGCTGCCATCAATTAGGCGCAGAGTAATGCTTATTCTCATGGTTTCAGACTTGTCCTGGATGAGGCTGTGTTCAAAGCTGGTCTGGGATTGTCTGGTCATATTCATTATGTCACCATGGGAGAGGGTGAGGTCAGCAATATGAGCTCTAAGTTTGGATCTGAAGCTTAGGACTCTAGTAGCCCCTAAAGAGATGGTGGAGATCATGGAGCCTGGTGAAATTGACCTCTCGTCATCCGAGTGAAAGGGAATTCCTTGCTGACCATTTCTATACTTGGTAATCATAGCACTATTGAATTTCAATTTTGGGAACTGTGAGCGTAAGCGTTCTAAAATAGACTTTAGGTATGGATTGTCTGCTACTGGCCTTGTGTTATGAAAGCCTCCATTGTAAGCGTAGGGAAAGTCCCCGTAATATGCAACTGCCCTATTCTCAAACTTATGAGTATAGTGGGTTTCTATATCTAACTTGGCAGTGTCAACAAACTGAAAAACTCCTCGACTCAAATCTTGGTATGGATTGATAGAGTTGGTCACATCATTGTCACCATTTACAGAGTGTTTGGGATTTTCCAAATTGATAATTTCTGCTGAATGTTCACTGTCTTCTGCTAATTTGGATAGCTCTTGGGTTAACTCAGAAACAAGATGCGAGGATGACCTATTACTGAGGGGAACATTGATAGACTGTTCACAGTGATCAGGTACCTGGGGCAACACAGGGATAAGTGAACCATCGCTGAGGGGAACTTTGAGTGCACTGTCACTTTCTGATAATTGTTTATAGAGAAAAGAAATTTGCCGACGAAGACTATCATTCTCTCTTAATAGAGTTAAACAATTTGAACATTTATCAGTAGGACAAGAGCCGTTGCTGGGGAATTTAACAGAATTCCCTCGATATCTCAGATTGTAATGTCTTGAGCCAACTGGTATTCTAGACATAGTTTATCACAAAAAGATGCTACTGTTCGAAATTTAGTTAATGATTACAGTACCTTTGTAGCACTCCGGAGGATAAGGATAAGTGATGTCTGATAATCTTTAGGTGATAGATGGGAGTAAACTGCTTTAAAAACCGATGTCTGATAGTCCTTAGGATGTCTTTAAGATAACTTTATCGTGCAACAACCATTTACATTGACATACAACCTGTAATGGTCGTTACATTTACCGAGGCATTAGTTCCCACTGGGGGTCCTCAATAAATGTAATAGATTTGTAGTGTTGTAATTAGTTTAAAACTAAAAACGATAGATGGGTCTCATGTTTGGTCATTGGTGTCCACCTTTTTTCCTCGGTACCCTCTTAGAGCAATAAAAGTTGTTTTCAACATTGCAAATTTTATCCTCGTTCTCACATGCACTAAATAACATTTAAAATTAAAAGTGTTTTAGTATAATGTCTCTGTTGATATGAATAGGGAGTTTGAATAGGTAATAAGTATCATAGCACAGCAACAATCATTTAACAGCACTTGTTCGTCCATTAAAACCAAATTATTTGACTTTTTAGAATAAAACCAGCCCACCTCATCATGGTTGCAATTCCTCAAAATTGATCAGTCCATGACGCTTGTTTTAATGTAATAAAGGAAGGATAAAATTATTATGTCAAATACCCTGTCAGAACTCAAGTTGACTCAGAGGGCTTTATCATTGCGGGTTTAAATAATGGCGGGTTAAAATATGGCGTAGTTTCCGAAAAACTGCCAAATTTAAACCGCTATAATTAAACGAACTAAGGTAGGTACCCTTGATAGTATATAATCTTTGCTTTACTAGTAAAGCAAAGATTTTAATACATAATGTATTAAAGGAAGTGATTTCTCTCCGTGGAGACGAAGTGCAAGAAAGAACTTCGTTAATATTAGAGAGTGGGGGGGGGGGGGGGGATTTAGGGGGTGCCAAATCGTCATATGAATATTGGACAATTTTGAAAAACTTAAATAAAACACTAGCTAAACTGTGCGTTTTGTTCTAGAGATTTTTTCGAGATTCTACTGGCTTATTCTCTAAAATCACCTGATTTGTCCAATTTAACGTTTCCAATATGAGGGGGAAGGGGTGCCAACAGGGGGTGCTTCTTTGGCAGGGGGGTGTCAACATGCAATGTTATGACTTATGCCATTGCCATCTAAAGATTGAGCACTTGTTTGGGGCGACTGCGGCTGCATACTATCATTACTGACTTGTTAATTTCATAATAAACGTCAGCTAACGCTCAAGTGCTCTTAATTTTACACTCAAGAGCCATGCAATTGAACTGAACCCATGCATGTTAAGCCCTATTTCGGGAATGAAATGGCCGCAGTAATTGGGGTTGGCTATAAATTGGGGCTTGGTATATCAAGCCTCAAAGTTTTACTGTACTATGATTGATACAAGGGGAAATAAGATATCTGAATGGGGATTATCAAATTAGACATTGACATTTTTTAAAAGGGAAAGTAAATTGATTTTTAGTAGTATGAAAGGTTCTGAAAGATTATACCCAGACTTAAACAAATATTATTATCAAAGTTTATTTACTAGGCACTAGAATGTGAGATCTGGTCATGATATAGAGGGTGAATGGAGTGGGGTTCAGGATGAATTCTGAAGACTCAACAGCCCCTAACAGCCAATTTACTTTTCACAGGTAGCTGCTGATTGATATTGTTTTATTGATATACTTTACTGACCTGCAAGAAAGTATTCATCCTGTTTCTTCATTTGCTTTGACTGTAAACAACAAAAATGTTCCAGAATTCACGGATCCAGAATACGATTGAGCAATAGCAGTAAAACAGCAACCAGGCTTGAAGCAGCAAAGTTCTACGATAATGGAGTTGTGTACTCTGCCCTACCACTTTCAGGACATGCTAAATTTGTTGTCCAGGTATGCAGAGAAGTATCTAATGTTTTACTGAAACTTTTGTTTTATAAATAAATCTATCTAAAATTACAAATTTATGTGTTTCTTTCTAAAATTATTAAATCATTCAAAATGATAAGTTATTTTATGTCCAGGCCCAAGAACTTGCAGTTGGATGGAGTGGAAGTTTTAAAATAGGAGTGATTCTCATTTCACCCGAGGTCTTCAAAGATGGTTTCCAACCACCAAGGTATGATAAATGTTTTAAGTTTAGTAACCAAATGGTATTCCTAACACATCTTAGGTTCCTGGGGATTTGAGATTATTTTTTCATGATAATGGCCTGGCATAACCACCTTCTGTTTAACAGCCCAATCTAATTGTGATTAGTATATCGTCTCAATGTTTCCCACCGTAGTTCATCCAGTCGGTATTGGTTGACACAAGAGCGTTTTGTAACTGAATGTTGCTTCCCCTTCCTTCATCGGTACCGGTAACTAACTCGCTCACCTCACCAGCCATTGTACATTGTATATTGTACATTGTATATTGTACATTGTACATTGTATATTGTAGTACCATTACCTTTCTGTAGATGTATACTGTATAGTTGCAAAGTGCGCTAGTAAACATTGCGGGGTATGTTGCACTGCTTACTTTCTTATCCATGCATTCTTACTCAGTTTCACTGTTCACTCAATGCATCATAACCTAGTAAATGGTATAGTGGTTGGAGCATGAGCATTAAGTTTACTATTTGTAAATAAATACTCATTTCGAAGCATCTTATGTGGGAACTTAATCTGTAATTTATGCTATTGTCATGGCAGCCAAATACTAAACCTGTATGATCCCACATCCAGAAAGTTTTAAATTTCCTCACAGTTTAATGTTTCCCCAAAAAAATGTACAAAATTTCGGCCACAATCCAAAATTTCGCCTTCTGGATGTGGGTGTATGACGTTTGGTGGCTGTGCATGTGTTATTATATCATGTTAACAGCATGTAACAATGCTGGAAGCAGCAAGGGTGTCCAAACCTTTAAATATAGGATTAACTGTCTTGCTAGTTGCTGGGAACATTGAAAGTATTTAATAATTTCATAAGAATGTTACATCAGTTGCTGTCTGCTGGGTTTGTTTTTAGTAAATATAACTCGGCTGGCAGGGAGGTAATATGCACATTTCTATGCAGTTATTCCTACTTTTAGCGATCTGAACTTAATAATACAGGGTGGGCCAAAAGTCAGTACCCATACGTTGGCCTTTATAGCTCAGTCACTGAGTGCCCAATTTAAATACTTCTTTCTGGTATGACTTAGTACCACCACTGGTTCGAGGAATTTGTCAACTCGAAAAATATTCGCGTTCATTTTTTTCAAATGGAGGTTCATTTTCACATTTAATTGATAGTTTGGATAGTCGGATCAAGCTAAATGTTATTGAATTGTGTTTGGCCATTCGAATTACGTTTTTCCTGAAGGAATTAGAACTGTAGCTTCTCAGATGACCGAGATATGAAGCATAACGAGTTTATTCATTACGTGTGATCAGGTGATTGGTTTACCTAATCACGTGATAAGGTGACCCCGTTAACTACCCCGTTAAACATTATGGGAATTGTTAAGGGTGCCCAATTAAGGTGTCGTGTCACGGTGTCACATAATCACCCAGTCAATTTTGTTAACGAGATACAGAAAATGCTTGATAACTTCGTCATTTCTAATCCGTTTTGCCTCATGTTTTTAGATCATATGCAACATTTGATAATCTACAGTCTCTGGAAAAATTAGGCGTTCAGCATGTTCAGAGAAAACAATATAGGTGTTTTAATATTGAATGGGCGTGGTCTAAAATATTCGAATTTTCAAATTTTGACGACGGAATCCTCGAACCAGTAAGTACAGTATGCCATCTGCAAAGCAACAGCTCTCAAATATGAAACACGGCGGAGCTATTAAGGCCAATGTATGGGTACTGACTTTTGGCCCACCCTGTACATTTCCTCAATCCTCTATAATCTACAAAATTCATATACAGAAATCAGGTTTCTTTTCCCATAAGTCGGTCTCTTGAAATGACTATTGGGGCTGCACTGTTAATATTAGTATGATTCTTTTTCCATTAGTGCTCCTTCACTGCAACAACATAAAATCAATTAAAAAACCTCAAAGCTGAGAGCAGATAAATAAATAACACTCATTTAAAAGTTTACCCAACAAATGTGCATATCCTCTCTCTCTCTTAGCATTACGTCACATGTTAGTTACATGATCACTCCAGGTACTCTCCAGCTATGCCTCACTCGTGGGTCTGGAGCAGTCTGTCACTGCATGTCGGACAGGACCTCAAGATATCTTACGGGTCTGTTAACTTGGAGGATCTCAAGAAGGTGGGTTTAACAATTAAATGTTACATTTCAGAGTGATATCTGATATCTCTAAATTTAGAGATACGTGATAATGTGAAATTTGAAGATCATAACGAAATGATAGAACTCACTACTCAGAAGTCAGAATACACCATTAAAATGTAATATACTGAACTGTATTAGTGTATTTATCACAATACTGGGTATCTCTTGTTTGAATTACATTAAATTAACATACTTATGTTCACTTGTTACGTGCAGTAGGAAATATACAGGGGGGCCGGGGGCAAAAGTCAGTGCACTGCAGTGTAGGTTGTCTTGTGGAGAAACGTGTGCTATACTATTAAAATAACCAATTAAATACATGATCACAAACTTAGCATTAATGTGTATAACCCTCGTTTTGTCGTCAAGTAATGTAGTTTATGAAAACTTACTGTATCACTTAAAATGCTCTATAAATATTTCACGGTATCCTTCGTCAAATAACCTTTCATTTTTATGGCCTTAGTATTCTCACTATTCAGTAAAAAGACCTCACTATTCGCCACAGTTAGTAGAGACCTCACTCCACATTCAGTTATAAAACTTGGTGTCCTTAACTTGCATTGGTGTTCCACATTAACAGATAGACTACATTGTACATTCTACATTGTACATTCTACATTGTACATTCTACATTCTACATTCTACATTCTACATTCTACATTCTTTACGATGTTTTTGTACGTTTCGTATGCGGTCAGCTGAGTGACGGTATCATTACAGACAATGCCACTAATTCTTATCACATGATAGTTTTATACCAGCTAGTAAGGTTATTTAAACATAACATCAAACATTGAACAATTAGGTTATGTAATTATTACGTTATGTTAGATAACCGAAGTCCATGTTTAGGTATATGAAATGGTTAATTTTCATATTAATCTTCTACCAATTTCCCTGCCCATGTACCATCCTTACAACAACTACGGTATAGTTATTCACTAATAATATAGTTTTCCAGCGTTACAATTGGCGATAACAAAGATATGGATAAAATGTGTGTTTTAAAGTTAAAACAATTACTTGACCTTATTTGTGGTCCAACATGTATTTTAATTTAATTACAGAAATTGATCGAATAAGACGATAATAATCCTGACAATTTACTACTCAGCTGATTATCGTAACACAGCGTCCCTATAATACCCTAAACTAACTGTGCACTACTAGTTCTTCGTTTAGCAGGTTACCGTGCATAATGGCACTGTAAACCCAGTTAACAATACGCATAATATGTACCATTTACAATATAATATTATGTACTATGAATATTGCACTGTACATCACCAAATACATTAACCACACCGGATTTCGCATTAGTACTGCATTGCTATTGACATTAAATCTACACTGATAAACATCAAATATGGGTGTGTTAATTGTGTATTATCAGTAATAACTGTTAATTGTCTCTTATCATAACAATACCTTATCAGGGTGATAAGTTGGGAATGGAGATAAGCCGAGAGGGAACACTACAGTTTCTAGTAAACGACAGGAGCCAGGGTGCGGCAGCTACTAATGTCTACTCTACTGACAAACTGGTTTACGGGTTCGTGGACCACTACGGCCAGGCTGTGACCAGTACTATCGCTGAAGGTCAGTAGCTTTTACAGTAGCTTTTGGACTGTTTCTACTGAGATTACTGTTTATTTAACTCATTTCACAACGTTACAAATCTAAGACTCGCCAAATTCGTGCTCACACGCAGTGCGTATGGGCACTATTTTTTCTTGCAGACAGTTCTTACGTGGAATGAGTTTATTCAACGACAATTAGCTGTCACAATCAACAATGAAAATCAAAAACAAAGTTCCCGACTGTTGAGTGTTGCCATGTTTCCGAAGAGATGTGCCTCGCCGTTCCACAGATAGCAATATCTCCCATTATACAGTTATACCTGTATTTGGCGTTGTGTTACATTGATTATTGTGCGCTAATTGTTCTGGACTCGCCTTCTTACCAAGGTGTGACACAATATCAACAGTTTACTATATTGTGGGTTATGTAATCACTCAAAACCAATTTACAGTCTAGTGATCTAATACAGTCACACAACACTCAGCACATTTCACAATTAAGAGCTGAATCCTGTTTCTACTATGTTATTACTGTTATTGGCGACCCTTCAATAGATTATCTCCAATTGGTCAATAGTGTGTGTGTTCAACCTAACTACACACTGCACTGTACACACCGTGCAACTGACGCAATGTGCAGTTAGCAGCACACTTTGTCTGGCCAATGAGTTAGTTATTTTGCTTACATGTACAACTGTCTGCGACTTGCGTGTGTATGTGTTTGTGTGTGTAAGCAGCGGGCATTTGTTGTCTGTAGGTGTATTTAGTGTACTGCGTGTACTTCATCTGCTATTCCTCGACCAAATAACATGAAATATGGAATACAGAATGTATTGAGTATCCTAGTGGCTGTTCTCGTGGAAACATGCACACATGTAATTGCCCCTGTCATATAAATGTAGTGGCGTAGTATTGGACACAAATGTCTTGTTAATTAGCAGTGTAGCTGTTCCTTACATTTAATAGCACTGTTCCGCGCGAGTAGAAAATTGAGAACAAATGACAGGTTCAGCAGTTTAGATTAAGAGACAGCTGAGTTAATTGATCCTAGAATTTAATTAGTAGAAGCAGTGGCGTAACGCCACTGAGTAGAAGTAGACACACCGGGGTAGATTGAGGTCGGGTTTTGGAGGGATTGAGAATGATAAAAGACCGATGGAACAGAACGACATATAGTTGCTAAACTGATGATTTTAGTTTCGATAAGGTCTTATTTCTATATCAGTCTATTGTCTAGCATACCATTGTCTTGATAGTTGATCATGACAAACAGGGGTTTCCTTACCCTGTCCACATTTGACTACAACACCTATACCAGACACTGGGTATCAATGCCAGTTAAAGTGACAACAGTCTGTTTGCTTGGTTGGATATGCAAGTGTGTCACCCCTTTTCAGATCGGAAATCTAGATTTGAAATTAATATCCCGCACGCGCATCGCCAAATGACAAATTTGAGTGCTGCAAAAAGTCAGCCTACATTTTAAAACGCCGCGCATTGCACATCATTTTGCACATTCGCGTGATTGATGGTACGCATGTTCCGATTTGGCAGTATGATTCCCAAAATAGATTATTTTGGCAGTGTATTTCATACTTCGTGTTTCTTGAGTAAACAATTAACCGTTGCTGTAATACTACACACCCACCATGACAATCACGCGATACTATTTATAAAATGTTCTCTATTACCGAATCGTTAAGATCATCTCAGGGATCTTAGCTCGGTTACCGGAGTTTAATGATTTTTAGATCGTAATCTCCCGGTTTATGTTAAAAGTTAAATCTGAAAAAATGTCATTTCAGCGTTCGTGAATCCCTTCTCACTACAACATCTCTGCAAGAGGAAAATCCTAACGGGGCTAACGAGCAATGTGTCCAAATTGGAGCCTTATCTACCAACTCCTCTCATAGCTTTTTTAGCGGACACCTGAACGCGACAATATGTTTTTGATTTTGTTATTTATTTGTAATTTAAAGAAACCGGTGAATTTGGGGAAATGAATTAGCGAACCGCATGTCATATGTTTTTTATGTTTGATAGATTTTATACTTTTGGATGGTAAAACGTTTTTGCTATCTTTATTTTCTCCAAATAGACCATGTTGCTGGTAACTCTGGAAAGTAGGTAGATCAGGGAACTTTTAAATTTATTATAGAGAGTTTAAGATTGATTTGTAATGGAAGTGAATTTGTTACAACAAGAAAAAACGTTTTGTGTCTAATTTTGAACCAACGATATAAGTAGCTAAAACTACGCCGCGCACGTCATTTTGGGGATGTGCAACTACTGAAAAGAACCTGTGTTAATGAAGGAGCACAAAGTTCATATTCCAAAGGAGCACCTTCTGCTAATTACCCTGACAACCACCAGCCTTTAAATACCCAGCACTAGGCAAAAACGACCTTTCCCTAGTTCTTTTCACACTGTTTACACTTGCTATCAACTAAAATCTTTCGATTTGCTTGCGATATGCTGTCAGTTAAAAGTATTAAATCAGTTTTCTGCCACAGGAGGAATCCTGACCGCGTGTACATGATGGAGGATGACAGGAAATCTCGCAACTTTCTCTCACGAACCTCAAAAGCACTCGGCTTCAAGCCGAGGAAGAGGAAGTACAACCCGGACAAATTCGATCATATTTCTGGTACTTCTGTAGTAAAAATACAAACAGCTGTCCATGTCCAAACTAAAGTTTTGTCAAAAATCTCACTAGATACCGACGACTCAGATTTTGAAGATGAGTTGGACTTGGAGATAATCGACGTAGAGGTGGAAGTACCTCGCGACGACAAATTAGGAGATCAGGAGGAACCTGAACCACTTATAATAGCCTTTGAATACCCGGAGGAGGAGATGCCTGTGTGGTTCCATCTTGGATATGGGTGTGACCCTCCAGAGGTAGAGTTTTCATGGTTACGTTTTTTTGGTTTTAAGTCAGATCACTTTGTTTAAATTTTCGTGGCCACAAATTTGTTTTATGATTAAAATTCGGTAGGGTGGGTTTACTTGGACAACAAAACATTTATGACGAACCTTTGGGGTCTGAAGTCGTTTGAGTTCAAGTAAACAGGCTTTAGTTTCACATTCAATTTATTGACACAGCTGAGGGTCGGTAAAAATTTTAAATTTGCTAGGGTGGGTTTGCTTGGACAACAAAACATTTATGACGACCCTTTGGGGTCTGAGGTCGTTTGAGTTCAAGTAAACAGGCTTTAGTTTCACATTCAATTTATTGACAGAGCTGAGGGTCGGTTCAAAATTTTAATTTGCTAGGGCGGGTTTGCTTGGACAACAAAACATTTATGACGACCCTTTGGGGTCTGAGGTCGTTTGAGTTCAAGTAAACACGTTTCTTTAAAAACGGGTATACAGCAGACTGTCAAATTTTGAAATAATTCGGGGATAAGGGGTACTAACATTTCAGTTAAAGAATAAAAAGATCCTTGAAGACGAACACATTCATGGATTAATGGTATACTGCAATCAAGGTGAATATTATTTCAATTGAGTTTTATCATTTTATTTTTCTTCCCTTTCTTAAATTATTTGACCATTAGTAGTCGGGTGCCATGTCTTTGACATTTTCTTCCTTTATTTATAATATAACAAACTGACTTTTAACAAAGGTTGAGGATACATCAGCTAACTGTTTTACAAATTCAGGTGGAAACAGAGGGACGAAGAAGCTGGAGAGAACAATGACATGACACACAGAGAAGACAAACTAATTGAGAAGACATCGGCCGTACGGCAATTTGAATATTTTGATAAAACAATACTAAAACAAATCATTTTCTACCTTTCCTCATTTTACAAATATGTCGTCTCTTACTTATCTAGTTATCTATGATAGTTGACTATTCAAAGTTAAAAAACTAAGAAAACAACAAAACTAAAATCGTCGAGAAATGCTTGATAATATCAAAAAATTCCGTATTTTAATTTACTTCATTTTATATTCCTGTGCATGTGGGTCCTTAATTTCTTTCCTCGGCTCTCCAACCAACTTGTCCTATCTAGATTCTAATTAAGCACCTCCAATTCTCCTAACTTCTTTTCAGTAACCGTCTTACCTTTCGTTATCTGATCTAGTTGGTTCTGGCCGAGATTCCGACATGGAACAGTTTGACACTTGACAGCATGTTTGAGAATATCATATAACTGCACCCATAAGGCCGAATGGTCAGTGTTCATTTTCTAAAACGACGGTGTCCTCAGAGTGATGAAACTAGATCGGTGCCGAACAAATTTATACGTTAAGGATAACTCCATTGAGTCATTAACGTCATAGTGGACAACTCATACAGTAAACAGAAAATATTTGAGTGGTACAGTAAGATCATTTGATCATATATTAGGTTTCAGGCGCAGTAAATTGTTTTCACAGTGCAGGAGACTTTTTCCGTACGAGGCTGGCCAAATGTTTGGACAGAAAATCATCAAGTGAAGCCTAAAAAGATTGCAGCACTAGGTTGTGATTTTTGCCTTTTATTTGACAGCTGCGGTTCTGGCGGTTGGCTCTGTAGTTCATGTAAACCACGTCCTATACTAATGCTGCATGCGTTACTCAGTGAGACGTGAGATGATGTGAACAGCATTCCAGATCACACTTCGGTCATGCTCATCTTCCTGTTATCGGTTAATTTAATTCATTCATCAAACCCCACATTGTCAAAGGTTGATTTGCTAGCCTGTGTCATAAAAGCATTGCCTCCCTTCAACTTCAAGACAAATACGGAAGAAATACACTTGTCATGTGCAGTGCTTTGTTTGCTTAACCGTATAAATTTGTACACTGCACCTTTTACACGACTCTAATATGTAGTAAGTCTTGTAGTCTATATAACTTGATTTGCTCATGTTTAATGTCATAGCTTCGGCCCTTTGTATCATTCCGTGATGTTAGCCTGACGAATGACTAGCGAGTAGTGGTGTAACTGTAACAAAATACAAATAGTAAATGGATTTATCAATGAAACAGCTGCATTGATTCACTTAAGAGCACTTATTATTACCTTCACACTTCAATCCTCCTGTTTAAGTCCAAGTTCATGTTACAACTGTACAACAGATACGTGTAATTTTTAGAAACCGTTTCGGCAGTGTAAATTTTGTAATCGTTATATGCGGTGTCTACAAAGATCGAAATTTAAAAGAAGTTCTGATTTCTTTGAAGACCATGTTTCTAATTGCGCTATCAAAGACTTTATTTTTCTAAAAGTACTGTTAAAGAGTTACTACTACTATGTACTGATATTCTATTTCTATTCCGACAAGTATTTACAATGAATTCAAATTTCTTTGTTACCTAGTTACTTTTTGCTTTAAACGAAACAGCATCGTCGATTTTGGTTTAAGCTTTGACTTGCAAATATTATTCCTAAGCCAATTTATGACTAAAACCAGGAATTTGCATAAGTTTACAGTTTACAGTTTACAGTACTGAGGATGATGGTTTAAGTCATAAATTGTCTACAGTCTACAGTCTACATGTATAACACTAGACTATCATGTGACTAAGTTTGACACGCTCTCTAAATGGTTCTGATGGACAATTCGAAACCCTAACACATAACACTTTACGAGACTACTCTGATCCATACCCAACCTTTAACTGAAGTATCTGATAAAACACTAATTATAACGAGAAGTTTGACCTACTCCCTTACATGGCCATGTCACGTGATCAAAATAGTTTTTTGCCGATAACCAGTATTTTAACACTGTGTTATGTGCGGTGATTAAAAAACATGACGTTCAAAAATACATGAACATCTATTCAACTTCAAGTTGGTTTCAACCAATATAGAAAAATCTCGAAGGTCCAGTGTAAAGTGATTCAACACGCTCGTTACTGTAACCCAACTTGGTGCCCAGAAATTGAGCTGATGACGTTACGTTCAATATTAATAAGTTTTCAAGTTCTAATGTCTTCACTTCCCCTGATTCCATGGAAATCCACCCACTACGTCAATAGTCAAATATCTTACATGTCCTAACACAGCTGTTTCAACTATCAAGGTTCTCTTAAATTATAATTGTGATGTGAATGTGTTACAACAGATGCTGTACCCTCCTCTATTTGAACGTCATTGCTGGTTTTAAATTTCACTTTGTTTGTTCGTTAAAGTGCACACGACACAATAATAAACATGATTTACATTATCTCTGCTAAACAATTTAACCTGCTCACGTGATCTAGGTATACAAGTATAAAAGCTTTGTCGTTTGGAGGGGCAGCAGAAGAACCCTTACTATTACGAGCAGCAGAAGTGCAGACCGTGGAATTCCACGATTGTTTCGACAGCAGTCGTGAAAATTTAGTGAATAACGAGAAAAAACCACCACAAAATAAGATCGAAGAAACAGTCTCTAAGTTAGTTGGAGAACATTCCCTGCCAGTCCCTACCTCCCCAACAGCAGCCGGTCCTAGCAAGAGTCTTAGCTTATTAAGAGCGATCAGTAGGGAATCACAAGAATTAGAGGAGGTGAAAGTGAGGAGGATGTCAGACAGGGTCAAGTTCCTCGAGCACCAGGATGACAGGAGTAATGGGTCACGTGATGGGTCACGTGATGACCATCTCAATGAGGAGGGCCAGTACTTCTCTGACAACCAGATGAAAGTTTTTGAGACTATATTTCAGGTATATTTCATGTTCAAGTAGTTTCTTTACAAAACTTTTCATCATTCCTACATTGCAGTTTCAAGTTTCTTGATTACATCTTTCATTCGGCCGTCTAACTTGTTTTTGTTTCAGAGGCTGGATATAAACGGAGACGGTCAAGTCTCACCATCTGAATTGAGAAAAGCCTTGAAGTTCATGGACATACGGGTAGATAAGGCAGTGTGCGCTAGAATGGTCTACGATTTTAACGAGGATGGATTCCTGGATATCGACATCTTCATGGATATGGTAACAGAATTATTCAGAAAAGGCTACCTCGATCCAATAACGGTGAGATCTAACTACAAACCGTATTTAGCTAAAATTTAGGAATTACTTATCACTAAAGTTCAAAGTTTTACAATTTCAATTCGCCACCAGAACTAACAACCTGCTTTGTTGACAGTACAACATTGAGTTGGCTCAAGATCAGAAGAAAAAGAAAGTTATAAACTCTGCAGACGATCTCTTGCGGATATTCCACAGTTTTGACCAAGACAACTCAGGTAAATTAAAAATAGGATCTTGCCAAAGTACATTATTAACAGATAGCCTTATGATATGATTCTCTATAACACTTCAATTTCAAAATATTACACGTAGTCAAAAACTTCATTTTTTGGAATCGGTTCTGGAAATTTAATAAAATCTCTCTTTTGTCGATCAGTTCTATTCTTAATTTGTTCACACTCAATTTGTAATCGCAGGAAACATCTCTAAATCAGAGATAAGGTCGATAGCAGGTGACCTGGGACTACCAATGTCAGATCTGGAAATTGAGAAGTTCATGGAGCGTGCAGACAGGAATGGTGACGGGAGCATCGACCAGGATGAATTCTTAGAATACTTTGGAACTTTGTTGTTTTGAACATTTTATTGAATATTATCTAATATATCGCTAATATGTTCCCTGGTATCACGTGTAGTATCACGTGTAAAATAAGAGCTGACACAGTTCTTGCAGTACTGGCTGGGCTACAGCTTACAGAATATTACTTTATGGGACAAAGATAAATGTTGCTATAAGAGTTGTCTATGTTTTTTTTCTTCATAAATTTGTAATTTTTGCCGATAATTGTTACAATTTTTCGTTATTTTTAAAAACCCCGAAATAAAATTACTGACATGACATGAAAGTATTTAAACAAAACTTTGGGTGGCCAAATCTTTAATAGAAAAAATTTTCCCTCAGTGAAAAAATTGGACATTTCAACAATTTTAATGCGTGCCTAAAAAAATGAAATATCATCAATTTCTACCAATGTGAAAACTTATGTGGCAGAAAAGATAAAATTCGTACGACAAAATTTTAAAAAGGTTTCACAATAATTATTGTGCTGGTAACAAATGTCGCGCAAGGTAAGTGGCTCAACGACTAATGTCTGGTACATTTTCCTGATTAATAACAGCAAGGTATGATACTCAATAGAGTAATAAGTACATGTTGTGAAATTCATGTTATTTACCATCACATTAACTCCTACATACAGACCACAGAGTCTTAATGACATTCTAATACAAAACTATCAAATTAATAACTTAATCTCAAATGTTGAACACAAACTGTGATATATATACAAAAATAGAACATTAACTATACTACGACAAAAACTTGACGCTCCCCACACCATGTAGGTGGAACCAAAGGTAAATCAGTGATAAGAATGGTAATAAATCCACTTACGTAATTGAATTGATTTTTCATTATGTATTCGTGAGTTGTGAATGAAGCAGAATTCACAAGTAAAAACTTCACTGCATAACTTCACAATATCTGAGGGTAAAAACATTTCACTATCCAGAGTCCAGATGAGAATTTCCAACGTTATACACCCATACAGACATACAGATTAGTAGTGAGTGTTCAGATTTAACATGATGCTAATTCTAGGGAGGCGTCACGGGCTCCTTCCTAACTCTGATAACAGTTTCTCTTTCTGCGATGATAAAAATCATTTCGTTTTATCTTTTCATCTTTCGTTTTTTCTCCCTCTCCTCTTCGGCGAGAATCTTTTTCAGCTCGTCGGCATCTTCCTTCTTTGCTAAACGTGCACTGAAAATTACACGCTATAATAAAATTCATTCACGTTTAATGGCATCATACTAAAGTATCAATATTAAATACTCATTGCTGTTCATTAAATACAAAAACAGTTGCCTTGTAACTCCAGTCAATCGTATAGATTATGGATGTAGAAGTAACCAGTAATAGTGATTATGCAACTAATCCACTAATAGGCTAACTAATAGAAAACTAATAGGCTAACTAATAGGCTAACTAATAGGCTAACTAATAGGCTAACTAATAGACTAACTAATAGGCTAACTAATAGGCTAACTAATAGACTAACTAATAGGCTAACTAATAGACTAACTAATAGGCTAACTAATAGGCTAACTAATAGGCTAACTAATAGGCTAACTAATAGGCTAACATACCTTCTAGCCTCCTCCTGAGCAATAGTCCTGTAGTCTGTCTCCATGTTACGACAATCATCCTCCTCGTCTCTATACTTCCTCTTGTCATACCCAAATATATTCCTGGTGAATAATCCCCAATGCATAAACCATTAATTAATGTTAATACCTACTTCTTGAACTTTAATATTTCCTTTAATTATACAGTGTTAAAATGTGAATATTTAACGAACCTGACAGCCTTCGACACATCTATGTCCTCACCATCACTCACAACAAAATCATCCAGGTCGTCGTCCATGTACGGGTTAGCGTGCATCTTCTGAAGAGGAAATGTTAAGAATGCGCCCTTATCTAATATCTCCTCTCTCATTAATCTATTATTGATTATTAGAAAACAGTACTTACCTCCTGTCTCTTTAACTATTATAATTCAGATATTATACTTTTAAGTTAACAAGACAGGTACATTTTGTTCCAATCGTTCAAATTCATTCATAATCAATTGATTGATCTGATAGTCTAAATCTGCCCATAATAAGCTTGCCACTAGTGACTTTAACTTTGAAATAGACGACGGCATTTGTAGAAAGAAAACCAAAATTTGCAGTTACATCAAAGTTATTTCAAAATTCAAATTAGGTCAAAACACTTTAAAAAATGCCTGAACAAGCATATTTTTTGTTAAAAAAGACTACCTCTAAAATGTATTCCTGCTTTAGATACTAATCTCAATGAGTGTAACCTCAACTCTTGTTGAATGTTTATTTACAGTTCCTATTGCTCAAGCGGAGTCCCTGTTGTCTCCCTCTTTATAAAAAAAGCAAACACAGATGTAATGATCAACACACCTTGCATTACAACTATAACAAATACAGGATTCTCCTCGTACGCATAATGTATGGCAAAGGAAGCAGTAATACTTGAGATGCTGTAGCACCCGCCTAGAATACAATTAGTGAAAGACCTGACTGATGTAGGAAAAGATTCGCCAGCAATTACAAATATTAACCAGCTCATAACGGCTAAAGCTCCCCTGGTGATTAACAAAACGGTCAAGATAAAGTCTGTGCCCACACAAATGTAAAGTAGGGATAACAACAATGTGGGAAATACAGAGGTGAAAATAGTGAGTTTTATTCTCCCAATCCAGTTAACGAAGAGTAGAGCTAGAAGAATACTGAAGGGTTCAGCTAGACCAAGAACGCCGAGATCAAACAGGACGGCGTTATCAAATGTGCAAGACTCCTCCTCTGTATAGGTACTTGAAGAACAATATCCCTCATTCATGAAGCGAGGGGCCGCATAAAGTATGCACATGTAAGCAAACTGACCGGTAAAATTCACACATACCAGGATCCAGAAATCAGAAGCATAGCCTGTTTCTTGTATTACTTGATAGCTCTGACAAAACGTACTGATCTCTTGTTCAGCATGGGGATCCTCAGTTATCCTCAGATTCTCAGTTTGTTCTCCGGTACAATTTAATTTGGACAAAATCTCTATAGTTTTCAGAGCCCCACTTACTTTCCCAACTTGAACATCGTGTCTTGGAGATTCTCGGATCAAGATGAGTATGATCAAGAAAGGAGAACAGAACAAAGCTAGGGCTATAAGAAACCCTCGCCACCCAAGTGGCTCTATCGTTACGTACGCCAGTATGCTACTAAAAGCAGTTCCAATCCCCCAACCCAGACCATTGGAAGCCAGTCCGAGAGCTCTGTATTTAGTAGTTGGAATTTCAGCGGAGTATGCAATGGCAGGGCCGAACCCGATACCAGAGCTCGCTCCGATCACAGCCCTGCAGATAAGGAGTTGCCACAATTGCGTGCACATACCTGACAGAACCCCTGCTAACATGGCAACTAGAGTTGTGACTATCAGTACTGGCCTTCTTCCGAGAGTGTCTCCAAGATTTGAGAAACAAATGCTAAAGATTGAAGAGAAGACCATGCCAGTTACTTGCAGGACAGACATTGAAAATGTTGACATTTCCCACTCACAGCGCACCATCAGACTGACTATTGTCATTACTGATATTTCAGCACCGACCGTTATCATGACTCCATAGGGCCCCAAAGCGTACAGAATCGTCCCAAAACCACAACCAACACGTTCTATGGCCTCTCCAACAGTCACAAACTCGGTGGAGGTGGAGGTAGCAGGAGTGTTTGCTGTTGCTGTGAGGCGGGTTTTCTCGCTTTCTTTTGATTTCAGTTCCATAACAGTCTGAACTATAACCTTAAACATGTAGGTAACGTTCAGATATTTTAATTGACTTGTTAATAACGAATAAACATTAAGATTAACCAGATTTTCTCTGACAAGTGTCGTGCATTACAGCCAGAGAACTTTAAAAGAATTTTTCTAGTTTTAACATAATATGTGATAGAGCTGCTGGAGACGACCGTCGAACAAGTTGGGGAAAACCGTATAAAAATCTGACATTGCGTTCCTGAGATATTGCGCGCCACTCTCTAAAAAGAGTGATTTTCAATGAATTTGGGGTGAACGGTATGTATAAGGTTCACGGTATAATGTTTATATACGATTACAATAAAACCCGATTTACTGCGCACCGATTTACCGCAAAGTGTAAACCCTGATTCAAAGCGGGCATTTCCTCTCCCCGAATTTTTCTTCAAAATAAGCCTGCAGTTTTTTCCATAAAAATTTAAATTTAAGGTTTTCAAAGAGACAAAATTTTAACATTACGGATCGTTCACATATTACGTAATCATCTAGAACCCCCACTCAGGGATTACGTAATATGTTATCTTAAAATACGAAATTTGATACACTCTGGAGTCTGGATAAGTAAAGTCACTAAAGATATTTAAAGTTTAAAGTATTAAATTTATCGAACAGTTCTTTCTTCAATTGTTTGTTATCTTCTCACTTATATTATTGCTTCATGATGATGTATGTATCTTAGAGATCGTTTTTATACTGTATTTTTACTAAAAATAGATCTGAATTTGGATATCTCAAATTTTCGTCAGTTCATTACATTTTTTATTTTTGATTGTATGCATTTGTATTTTGTAATTAAGACATTTCTTGCTTTTCACAATTTTGAGATATTTTTGAAACTTGCTTTAGAGATTCTTGTTATCTTAAATGTAGATTTGATATTTGTTAAAATTAACATTAACTGACTACATAAAATCTTGTTAGCCGGCTAATGTTAGCATTAACAGTGCTATGGATTCTATCAGTCATCACCCCGGGTAGTTGCTCAAATTGTTGGATTCTTTTGAACGATACTGCTGGACTCAACAACTTTGACATCAAGCTATACCCTGGTAAACTGCTAAATGGAATTATTACGATTGAAGGTGTTTTGAATTTAGATCATGCCCCTGCATCAAGTGTGCGGACTCACAAAGATCTCTTGAAGTTTGTTGGAGAGGACGACTCTAATGATGCTCCAATCTTAGAGATTGAAACCCAGGTCCACAAAAGTCAACAGTGTATGTATGTTAAGGGGACTCTGTATGATACTGACAGTAACAGAGTATACACGTATCCAGAAAATATCCGTGATGTAGAGTCCATTTGTCAAGTAGATAAAAACGGTAAGTCAAAGATCTCCAAAGGCAATCTAGTAAACCTTCAACTATCAAATATCGACTGTGAAAAGATTGCTGGCTATGAAATGAATCTAGGTGGATTTTCTAAACCAGTAAAGCGTTTGATCAAATATGCATCTCCAGAGAACTGGCAGAAGTTTGAAAAGAGAAGGATCGATGGCACCAGAGCAGAAGAATAGTAAATACTTGCGAACAGGTCTGTCATCTATCATACACCAAGATATCCGTCTGTTCAGATCCACAACCTAAGCTCCTTGATAAAATGGATGTCCAAGTTGTAAGAGCAGAGCTTGGAAGTACCTACACTCTGTCTTGCTCAGCCTCTGGAGCACCTTATCTTGGTTCTGAGTGGAGAGACAAGGAGAATAGCATTATTCCTGGTGATGATGAGTTTTCTTCTGACGGAGCAGAATTCCGCATCGAGTCAAAGTTGGTGATATCTGATGTAAACACAGAGAACGCTGGCGATTACACCTGCAAGGTTTTCAGCAAAAACTTTAGGAACTTTGGAAACGCAGTTGAAAAGCGTGTAAGTCTGCAATATTTGAATTTTACAGCACCACACTCGACATACAGCTTTACGCAGGGTGAAAGTACACAACTAGTATGGACTGTTAAAGGGCATCCTCTTCTTGAGGTGAGGTTAGATTGCAAATCTGAGTTGGGAGAGTCAGTTCCTTTCTACCGACGATTAAAATATTCACCTCCTAGAGTAATCTTTACTCGTGAATTCGTCAAAGATGCTCCTGCGTTGCTTAGTTGTGACCTTCTGAATGGGCTTGAGCTTCGTGGTCACGAAATCTTTAGGAGGGAGAATAAATACGTCCGCCCAGCCTCATTCTATATAATATTGATCAATGGTATAATTATTACTCTAATATTCTTGAGTATTTTAATCATGGGTAAGAAGAGGGTCAAAACTTACTTGTACTTACTGTACATGAAAAGGTCTCCTCCTAGTCGTTGGAGTGGCCTACACCACACAGTAATTCCTTTCTCCGGTGTATTAGACCTCTTCAGTGAACCCTGTCTGTAGCTTGTTGTTCTGCATCTGCTATCGTGATGTTATCGACACCTGTGAAGATTGCTGCATCCTCCCGGACACATGACAACCAGTTTTTCCAAGAGGTCTACCTCTTGACCTTTTACCATGCTTTGGGATCCAGTGCAGAAGATAGTTTGGTATTCTTTCTTCTGACATCCTCACCACATGGCCAAACCATCGGAGTCTAGCTGCTCGTACGAAAGTATCAACAGGGGCGATGTTAGCCCGCTTAAGTACATCAGCATTAGATACATGATAAAACCATTTGATTTTTGAAGAGGGTCAAAAGAGCTTTAAATATCAATTTTCAATATCTGACGAACTTTTAACTATAGTGCGTGAATAGGAAAGGTCTAGAAGTGGGCATCTTATCAGAACATATTCATAAGTTTAAAATTTGTATTTTAATTACGAAAGATTTAATGTTAATGTACCATCGATTACATGTGTTATCATTTATCACATTTGACTACACTTGAGTTCATTTTTTCCCATCAACTTTTTATTTTTTAAAAAGCATAAGATGGTTAAAAGTGGTAGGAATTGAGGATGGGTATAGTAAGTAGGTTTTTAACATTAATATTTACAACAACGTATATCGATAGGTTTTGTATCATCAATTCATTGAGTCCATGGGACTCCTAATAGTAGGTAGGTAGGTTTTTCGTATGGTGTCACGTGTCAGCCGTCAGGTGTCACAAAGGAAAACATGTGCTCCTTCATAAATTCGCACATTGCGTAAAATACGGATGTTGGTAATGCCGCGCCTTACGTTCAAGCTAGGTTCGTGGAATATAACTTAATTTGATCATAATAACAATGAATTTAGTATTTCATTATTGTTACAGTAAGCGAAAAAATCTCGAAAACACTTGCAATTTGAAATTACGGAGCCAAATATAAAAGAAATTTTGATGTTTTATCAACTAGTCGCAACCAAATCCAAGTCCAACATATTTACGAAAATAATAACGTTGAATCTTAAAGAATGCTGCTGAATTAAATTACAGTACAACTTAAATGTAGCAGTGAAACTGAAAGGCGTTGCGGCTATTTCCATTGATTCGTAGGGATTTGATTATTATTTGCGACTTCAAACCATTTAAGATTTGTCTATTAAAGCTGAGTCTTAATTTTTGTGACAAAGTACTGAACATTGAACTAGATTTCGAGAATTGCTGAAAATATATGTTTGGAGAAGCCATCACCGAAAACTGTTAAAATCAACACACAACTGTGCACATATGATAAGGGGGGGGGGGGGGGGGGGGGCTCATGTTTTTTTGTCCGTCTTCAGAAAATAGGGTATCGCACGGACAAAAACGGACACAAAACATTGTCATTGGTACGCCTCTAAATATGTACCGATCTCAGATCTGTATAGTGTAAAATTGTAATAATATGTTATTGTGTGCATTTCGATCAACCTGCAAGTTTCAGTGTCTACTCACATAACGTAATTTAAATTCAATTGGCCAAGTCAACTCACGGTTTGTGACGAGTCATCCAGATAGGTCAATTTATTAAAACGTATCAAGTCAGCTGGTGAGAATAACGCAGGTAATCAGTGGACGGACTGTGAATTAATCGCGATGCATATTTTCGAACAAATTTTGTTAAGCATTCGCATTGTGATTGAGTAAGACTCGGAATAAGCTGTGATGTAGATTGTAGATTGTTCATTGTAGCATAATCGGATATCTTGAACTTTAAAAGGCAGTTAATGGAAATCTAGCGTCTGCCTAGTGCCTATATGTGGCCTAACGGGCGCAATTCTTGTTGATATATTTTTTCTAGAAGTTAAGTTTTCCAAGAGTGCTCATCGAGGTTTTTATTTTTAAACTGAGTATGGTGTATGTAATTAATAATAAATTAGTCCATTATAGACACTCCCTTACGAGGGGCTTCCAATCAATCAAATAAATTTTTGTCGTTTATTTATAATGCTCAGAGTCATATAATATGAGTTTCCTGTTTAAGTGTGGCTATAATAATGGTTTGCGGCGACGAAATTTTAGTGGAAACATCTTGCATACAGTGTTTTTAAAAACACAAGGTCAGATTTTGATACGGTTGTCCCTACTTGTTTGTCTCCAGCAGCTCTATCACATATTATGTCAAAACTAGAAAAAAAAAACCTTACAAATAACTTTCTAGCATTGGCCGATCAAAACTCAAAATCACTGTCATGTGTCAAAACAAACTAAGCTAAACCTCCTTACTAGTGTCCAGAGCTATAACTTAAAAACACAGAACTTAAAACCATATCACAATAGTGGCACTTGTATACAAACAACTTCAATTGTACGACAATGCTGGTAAACTACAACTCTACAATGTACTGTGTGACGCTATGATTATTGTCCAATGGTGTTCAATAACGTTAAACTCATGAGGCAACAATATTGAACGGCATCAGACACATACATTAGCGATGTGTTGTTCTTAGCAGGTTTTGCAGCTGGTCCCATACTACTATACAGTATAGTATACATCCGCTATATTAATTACGATAAACTCAAATAACTGCAAGTTGTGAACTCAAGTTGAAATAATGAATTAGGATAAAAACAGACAGAAAAACGCAAAATAAACGAAACGTTCATTGTTCTGACTATTTACTATTTACAAACTGTGAAACTTAATTCGCTATCTTATTAAACTTGAGCTGGAGCAGTGCAATATCGTAACATGTAAACGACTCCTAACTGTATCATATACATTATACAACAAGTGGAACATAACGTCGACACTGTAACAACTGCGGGTCCAGTGTGCAAACAGTGTTCCACTTTTCCAGTATTCCAATTTTCCACTTTTCCAGTGTTCCAGTATTCCAGTGTTCCAGTGTTCCACAATGGAAGCGTGACTAAAGCTACCTCATTTAAACAGGGTCTAATTACATTCCATAGCTCACAAAGATAGACAACACACAATAAACACACAACAAACTTTCTCGATAAAGTGGAGGGTGAATAGTTGAGCGAGATGGGGAGAGTAGAAATGAGCTACACTTGTTAGAGAACCCGCTTCCTTTACTGAACAGTATAATCCGAGGAAAATTCAACATTGGTTATCGTTTGACACGGATCTACCTTCTCGTCAGAGTGTACAGAAGAGAAACAACGGGGCTCAGATTTTAAACAACAAAGGCTATTTTGCTGCTTATTTTCAGTTCGGTCTTAAATTTCGTGTTTTTTCCATTTTGAGTATCATATTTAAATACAGCGACTTCACCGTGCATTATCACCGTGATTATGAGGAATAAGATTATGCCCGACCCATGTTCTTATTCTTCAATCAGAATAGCATATTTCAAGGCCATTTTTTGTTTCATTCATGGTTGAACTATTTTATACTACACAAATTAAGAACAATAGCCAAATCTCCACAATGCCCATAAGTTCAAACTATAAATCTAACGTTTAGCCCAAATGTATGCATTTACCTTCTTAGGTTTTTCTGGTCGCCGTTTAGCCTCTTTCAATCTCCTATGTTCCCGCTCTGTGTCACTGCCTTTTTGCTCCTTTCTATGCTCCTTTCCCCGCTCCTTACTGCTCCTGTCTTCTCGATTTACTGGTTTAAGACTTCTGTCAAGAGGTTTAGAGGACGGTCGAGGAGGTGGTTGTTTCTGTTTTGGTGGTGGAGGCGGTACTGTTACCTTGAAATTCTGAAATTTAAAGTTCGCATTTAATTGTTGTTCCCACTGCAGCTTGACCTGATCATACAGAAAAATGGCGGAAGAATCGGCGGAAAAGCAAAATTGAATCAGTAAAGTGAATTAGTGTCAATAACACTTTTACCAACCAAAAACTGCTGTTTTTCTCTTTCTCGTTGTGCTTCCTTTTTCTTTTGTTCCCGAAGTACGTCCTCTGGTTTTCTAATAGAGGACCCAAAGGTGCCCTGTTTTGAGTTGTTTTGTGCTAACATCATCAACTCTTCAAAGGATCCTGACCCTGGTAACAAAGGGGTAAGGAGATGTTCAGGTTGATATAAACCGTGAGTAGTAAATTATTTGAAACACTAGCAGTAAACCCACGATGGGGTGGCATGAGCCTCAATATGATATTAAATACATTTGTCACATATTCAAACAAACTAACCTGTAGGGTCAGGTTTTGGAGCACTCATCTTTTTCCTTTTGTTTGGATGCTCAGCCGATCCATTTGATTTAGGTATCTTGAAGCTTTGTTTGCTTTCCGATAGTTTTGCGTTCGGTCGCCTGTGAGCGTCTGTTTGCTTGTTTGAATGTTTTTCAGCACGTGGTTTATCAATCTCGGCTGTATTCTTTGGTATCCTGTTCTTAGCACGCTCCTCTTTCTTTTGTTCTTGGTTCCTTATTTCTTAAAAAGAAGTTGAAGTTATAAAGCGGATAACACACTATGATTAACTTGAGAAACACTTTCCTAATAGTTTGGACCGGGAATGTTTTGACAACTCTAAAGACCAAAATGAATCAAAGATAACCTTTGAAACATTTAAGAATATTTTCTTGACTGCAGCAGCAGCAACTGCGGACACCACGGTAAAGGTATGTACGATTCAGTCTCCTGTAACTGCAATATGTATACTGTACATGTACATTATTTTCATATAAATCAACGACAATAGTGGAGCTTACCTTCTCTTCGTCTCTGTTCTTGTCTTCGTTTCTCTGCAAAGTAAATTTAGATCAGGTAACTGGTAGCTTTAGTAACCGCAAGGTAAAATTATCAGATTTATGGACTGACCTCAATTTCCCTTTCTATCCAATCTGTAATCTCCTTGTATACAGGACAGGAGGATGTATATTGTATATTGTATGTTATGATGAATGAAACTCACCCTTTTCCTGCTCTAGCTCCGCTTCTTTTCTCTTCCGCTCCATTTCCTCTCGGAGCATCTTTCGTTTTGCCTCTTTTTCTTTTTTCTGTAACTGCACGTTTTGTTCTCTCTGAAAAAAAGAATTGTGTAAATTCTGAGAAACTAGACGGCTCTAGATTAAGAAATGATTTAGAATATCCGACATCTGATAACGTACACCTTTATGGAGGAGGTATTTTTGGAACTATCTCTCCAGTAAAACAATGTTGTCAATGTCAAACCTGCTTTTTCAGTTCTAGCTCTTTTTTATTTTCCTCGCCTTTTAGTTTAGCCATAGCCATTATCTCTTCAAAAGTTTTAGGTTTGTCGGGCTGTTTGGTTTCTTCCACAGTTTCATCATATTCTTTGTGGTCATAATCCGACAGCGAGTCCGAAGAGTAGTGTTTATTCTTCTTGCGGGAAAGTTCCTGCATAATTGGTGTAATTATTGTATGTGACAGCTGAGTTATGATCAATAGATGAGCTTGTTTGAGAACTCAATTTAATTCGGAGTTTAGGTAAGGGTACGTTACATACTTTCAGTTTGTTCCTCCTTTCTTGAGCCTTCTTGGCAGGAGAGTCTTCTTCTTCTTCTTCTTCTTCTTCATCTTCCTCTGATTCATACTGTTTCTTTTCCGTTTCTTCCTCAGAATCACTCTTCTTTTCCTCACCCTCAGAGTCAGTGTCACCGAACAGTTCTTGTAACTTTTCCTGTTCTTTTTCTTTCCGCGGCGGAGATTTCTGGAAAAATAAATTAGTCGCATTCCAGCTCACTATTAAAGTTTTATAATTCCATACATGCAATAACAGGGAGAATACATTACATATAAATAGAAACTGCCATAGTATCGGCTATGAAGGACAATTCTAAGAATTAATACCGTTATCTTTGATAAATTTCACGCTCTTCACTTGATTAGGTGGTGACAATAACTGTCTTTGCTGTACACGGTTATGACGCTGACAAACAGTTCATGCTTCATACACATATAAATTGTATTACGACGACCTATAAAGTGGCTGAAGTACCCCTGAACAAATCTACAAAATTCCTTTAGTAACTGTCGTGCTGCGCCATGCTAGCAGCATAATGGACATGGCGCGCTACGGAAACGACCATTGCCACGGACACATTGCGCGCACTCTAGTGTCTAACTTATAGCTCTTACACTTAGCATTTACACTCATATCTCTCAATACTCTCACTTCTCTCAATACACGCCAATTAATAGTGCAAGCACCAAATTGGACCACTACTCAACTTGTAATGGTTTTGTTGTCATGAAGTTAATTTAATGGAATGACTAAAGCTTAAATGCAGCAGCGAATAAATCAGCCAGCAGAGCAGCGAATCAAATCTAAATTTTCCAGCGATTAGCCGTACCCAAAAACGAGCCTCGTTCGCCTTCTCTTCACTTGAAACGGACAATAAACGCTTCCTTGATTTCCTCTGCTCAGGTTCACTATCTTGGTCGCTTTCTATTTCTTCGCTATCTGACTCATTATAATTTACCTCATTTTGATTGGGCGTCTCCGGGGTCATCTCACAGTTCATTTCGGTTTCATTTGGAGTCATCTCGATGATGTTTTGTTTAGGTGTTGCCTCGCAGTACAATTCTGTTTCATTGGACGGTAACTCGTTTGGCTCATCACGAGCTGGGGTCATTTCACAGTTCATCTCAGTTTCATTAGGAGTCATCTGAACTGGTCGAGCAGGAGTGTAACAAATGTGCTGCTCTTCTCCATTGAGGGGCTCTGGTACATACTGGGGACATGGACTGTAGTGGATATTACTGTCCACCGTTCCAGGCGAGTATTGTGACTCATTTGGGCAGGGTTTTGAGGGAGTGTAACTTGTTTCTGTTTCGACCGTTTCTGGGGAGTATTTTGTTTCGGTTTCTAAACCCTCTTGCAGAAGTGATCGACTATTTTCTATTTCATTTTTATTGGGTGAGTTATCTGTTTCCAAATTAACGGAAGACGTTCTATTTTCTGTTTCAATGGTGTTCGGTGAGTATTTAGGCTTCTCTGGTGAGTATTGAGGTTCTCCCATTTTCTCTGGTGAGTATTGAGGTTCTCCCATTTTCTCAGGAGAATATCTGGTTTCACTTTCTAACTGTTCAGTTTGCTCTGGCTGATCTCTGGTTCCCAGCGGATCTTTTGAAGTTGGGCTTTTAAGCAAATCAATTTCAGTAGTTTTTAAAGGGGAGTAACAGAAGTTATCCAACGAAGGAGTGATTTTAGAAGGAGAAAATACGAACTGAGAGGGACTACTAGTCACAGTTTCAGAGACCAAAGTCTCAGGTTGGTGACTGTCCGGACTTGGTTCAGTAGTCCATGTAGCAGTTTGGGGAGGAAGGGCAGCTGAAGGACTGATAAAGGTCTCTGATTGCAAGTAGGCTGATGTGTAAACTGTATCTGATAGAAGTGCAGCGGGACTGGATGTAGGTATGGGGTTTGGACTGTAAACAGTTTCCGACTGTAACGTACAAGGACTACGGAAGTCTTCAGAAACAGGGGTTTCGGGTTGTGGTGAGTAATCTAAGTTAGCTGATATAGCCATTGGTGCAGGTGAATATTCCATGTTGTTGTCGAGTGTAGTCCCCACTGCAGGAACATATTCCATGCTCTGAGTCTCTGAAGTAAGCATTTCTCGTGTAGGGGTATAATCTACTGTCATGTAGCGGGAGGGTCCAGGTGTGTACGCTATACTATCTAGTGCACTTTCATTCACACTTGATGGAATGTACTCTATACTTGTTTTCATATCACTGAAGTTTTCAGGGCTGTACTTAGCGGGGATTACAGACGGGGAGTAAGAGAGACAGGGTGTCGCCTCCCCAGTTATATTCCGTGGACTGTACGTGGTCTCTGATACCAGAGTCTCCTTGAAAAGGGAGTCACTGGCTCTGGGAGTGTTAAGGGTCTGGGAGGACAGAGTTTGTGAGGTTGGAGTTTGTGAGGCTAGAGTCTGAGAGGTTAAACTCTCTGAGAAGACAGAGTCTAGAGGGCTGTACTGCAGTTCAGAGGTAACGCTGGATGTTGGTTTAAATAGTGGAGCCAGGGCCGCGTGTTGTGGAGACTGATTATTCTGCTCTTCGTGACTGTCATACTCTGCATCACTCATCTCCTGAGGAGAGCAATACTTCAGACAAATATATTTTTACTAATCCTCCAGTTTTTTATGGGGGGTTCCGACCTCAATTTGCCTTTTTTGGTGCCCAAACAAGGCAAATTGAGGTTGGAACCTCCTTTTATTCTCGAGTGGATTTTTTGACGAAAATTTGAATATTGCTCTCCTCAGTTTACAAAACATTTAGATACATTTAGATCCAGCTGAAAGCATGCTTTGAAATTAGGCGAGTCATTGTATCAGTTATCTTTTGCAAGATTCTACACGTTTTGAAAGTGATACATGTAACAGTGGTCGAAGCGTTACAATAGCAAAATTGCGATGTTTTACAAATCAAAGTTGACACACAAAACATGCTCATATGAAATGAGTTTAAAAAAAGAGTTCTTTCAAAAAAAGGGGCGAAAAGGCTATAAAGAAATGTGATACACATCACAAATTTAAGTAGTAACTAACTGCGATTGGTCCTGAGGGATATTTGATGAACTGATTGAGCGCTGCGGACAGGGCGGCTGTGTTCACATTACCTCCCAGTATATCAGATACCTGCAATATTACATTAGTTAGATGAAAGAGACAAATAAATTACCTTCATTACCTTCATTACCTTTTTCAAGCATATGCTGCATTTAATTGTTAAGTTTTAACACAAAACATTAAAGGTTTAAATAAATGATCAAACCTTTGGTTTATTACGAGAGGTTGAAGCTGCAGCAGCGTTATCCTCATCACCATTCTCCATGTCTCCGTGGTCACGCTCTGCACTGACAGACCGTCTATCATAGCTCTGCTGTTTGTAGCTGCTGTTTGGAGTGTCACGTGTTGTGCTGTGAGAGGACTCTCTTCGTCTGTGTTGGGGAGCTGCTTCCTCGTCCTCACTCGAACTGCTCGTCTCAGCCCTGAAACACGTGGATGTGACACGTGACTAATGACACGTGACTAATGACACGTGACTTGGATCACGTGACTTGGATAATTCGTTATGGTCGCTGACGTTTAGATTACTTCAATGCTCAGATGAATCTGCAAAGTTTCTCTTCTGTGATCAGCGAAGAATAATTAATGCGCTTCTGTGCATTTGTTTCACCCAAAAAATATAAGTTGCTTTTCAGGAACTCAGTGCCTTTATTTTTGAGTCAAAAAATAAAAAATAAAATCGTTGATCATTGTGTTTTACAGTTAATGTTCATTTATTTTGAATTGTAGTTGACGAAGTGAGAGTCTCCACTCAGTGTGTTGAAACATGATTCTTTGTCGACGTTTCTTTGTCGACTAAATGTTCATTTAGTTTAAAACGAAAATAGTAAACAAATAATTTTTCTGAAAAGAAGAGCAATATTCGGTTTTTTCATGCACTCAATGCTCATATTTTGATTAAACAAAGTATCCGATTTAATATCTATTGAATTGTACACGTCATCCAATTTCGATCAAAAACCGTGTTTTAAGGAATCATGCGATACTTTGAATTCTATCTAATCAAGCAAATCAGGATTTTAAGAAAAAAAATTGAATTCTAACTCTATAATAGAAATAAGATTGATAGATGGATGATTACAGGAGTGACTAGGAGAAGTAATTTTGACAGATAATTACGACTACTGTATCACGTACCAAGAAAAGAGGCTAAGTTTTTGTAGAGAAAACTAAAGACAAACATGCACTTTGTGGGACCTGGATTCAATCTGAGAAGCACGTCTTAATCTCATTTCTTTCTTGAGTCCAGCTCTCTTTTCTTCCTTTGCACTAAAGACCAGTTTTTTACTACTAACCTTGTACCACTTTAATAAATTTCATATTGCTCCCGGCTTTCAAGTTTTTTAGGGAAATTCCTGACAATATGAGGCTTAAAATATAAATAGACACTTATTATCTATGTTTCAGCGAAAAAATGTTTTCTCACCGATATGAATTGTCGATTTTTCCTTCATAACTTACACAAGAAGCTCAGACAAATTTGGGATCAAATAGACTGTAGACCTGACTTAAGTAACATATAGTAAGTACTAAGTAAAGTAAGTACTAAGTAAAGTAAGTACTAAGTAAAGTAAGTACTAAGTAAAGTAAGTACTAAGTAAAGTAAGTACTAAGTAAAGTAAGTACTAAGTAAAGTAAGTACTAAGTAAAGTAAGTACTAAGTAAAGTAAGTACTAAGTAAAGTAAGTACTAAGTAAAGTAAGTACTAAGTAAAGTAAGTACTAAGTAAAGTAAGTACTAAGTAAAGTAAGTACTAAGTAAAGTAAGTACTAAGTAAAGTAAGTACTAAGTAAAGTAAGTACCAAGTAAAGTAAGTACTAAGTAAAGTAAGAACAAAAAAAAGTAAGTACTAAGTAAAGTAAGTACTAAGAAAAGTAAGTACTAAGTAAAGTAAGTACTAAGTAAGTAACTCCAGACTCAACGCTTACCGTTTCCTATCGTGATAAGCCGACTCCTCGATGTCCAGTAGTTTAGATGCGCTAGAGGAACTTGTTCGTTTCTTAGTTTTCTCAGGTGTACTAGCTTTACTTGGAGACCCTGTAAACAACACGTATAATAAAACCGCTAAAAGCTGGTCGCCTAAAGCACAAAACCCCAATATAATAACACTAAAAGCTCGAAACATTGAAAGGCAAACTTTTCGTGGATCTGGTTATGTAAACCATGAAGCATAAAGTATAGAAAATTATGGAGAAGAAAATATAAACGCAAGAAATAACCTCGATTGTCCATGCTCTTAGACAAGGACATGGCAACTTTTTTCGCATCTTCCCTAATTTTCGCCATCAGTTTCTCCTTATCCCGATCCTTCATACCACGTTTGTGCTCTTCTCGTCTCCTCCAAATGTCATCCTTCTTTCGCTCATCGCGTCTCCTTTTTTTCTCATCAACTTCCCGCTGGCGACGTTTGAAAATGTCATCATCGTCGTCTATAAAGTCTCCGAACCTCTCTCCTCCTTTCCCCTTACCACACCGCTTCTTCTCTCTTTCCTCCTCTCTTTTGTTCTCCTGTTCGTGACGCACTGCATCTCGTTTTGCTTGTTGTTCTGCTTCCATCTTAGCCTTCCTTTCTTGAGCTTCCTGTTAATAAGGCAAAACATTGAAAGAGTGAAAATGCAAAACATTGGAAATGTGAAAATACCCCTATTAGCTAATGTAACTAGTAATAATAATAATAATAAATTGAAATTTAATAACACCGCTTTTAAGATAAATCTTATACTCAGCAGTGTTTGAACTAGTCATCCCAGAAAATATCATGAATACTGAGCTAAAAAATAACAGTAGTAAATAGGCTTAGTAAAGAAACTGAAGTTCTTATTTACTATTTAGGCTTGTGTTTTGCAAAATATTAAAAATTCGAGCGTTTAATTTTGACCTTGCATATTTGGTCGAGTCTGTCCATCTTCTCCTGCTCCTCTATCAGTTTCCGCTCGTGTTCAGCCATCTCGTGTTCCATCCTTGCTAGCTTCTCTCGTTCTTGTCTTCCGAATCGTTCTGAGGAATTCAAAGAATCTGTTACTGTTAGAATTCATTTGAAGGGACTGTCAAACTTCGACTGACAATTTGATCCCCAAAATGGCGAAACTAAATAAGAATGGTTGAGATTATCTGCTATATATTTTACATTATGACCGGTATTAATTTTCACGAACAGTTACAATTTCCAAAGAAACTTTCGTATATTTAATCGATAGTTAATACTTTATAGATTATCTCACCTTCTTCAGCGATCTTTCTTCGTTTCTCCTCCTCTTGCTTGCGGACCAGTTCAGTTCTGAGTTTCTGTGTAGATCGAGCTGGCTCCAGGTTGCAGGGTTTCTTTGGTTTCTGAGGAATTTAAAGCTAGAACAGCTTGTTCTTGCATAACTCAAGTGAAGTACTTAATAACTCAAAAATATCTGCTTTAATTACGATCTTACAAATTTACTAGCTATTGATCACTGTTAAAATGCACAGTCAACACATCAGATCATCAGATGGTATTAGCAGAGTAATGCCCCAGGGTATAACTTTATTATTTTCCATAAATAACCAATAATTAGCAACTTTAACAATACAAGGAGTGCCTGAGGGAGGGGGTAATTGAGAGTAAAGAGAAAATATACCTTTTTTACTTGCTCTTCATTTGCACGAGCTTGAGCCATCAGTGCATCGAAATCCATGATGTTTTCTTTTTAGGCTATCAGTAGGCATTATTTAGTCGCAAGTGAATATGGAGTTAAAATAAGTACAACAATGGACATGCCAATATAAATTATAAAATGTAAGGAGATGTTATAATTTGATATTTTTAACTCTTTTCAATTCAATATAAACTCAAATGAATAACAACAATTTAGTCAAAATTAAGAATTCAATTCATATAGTTAGTACCGAGAAATTGACATACATTTTACACAGAAATAGGAAATTGATTAGGTATCTAAAAATGCATTAAATTATCAATAAGATCTGAAATATCAAAAAAATCAGTACAAACATAATCTGAGTAATTTTAGAATAATTTCTCAATAATAATCTCAAATGAATAATTTCTCTTATCTGGTTTAGTAGAGATTCTATTGCAACCTATTGCTTATATTAGAGTAACTTGTTGACCTTGACAAAATGTAGTATACTATCAGAGTTCAATGGAATACATCCTGTCCTGTGTCCATGCAAACTTGTGCGACCCAAAAGAACTGATTATATTAATAAAATCAAAATAAAAGATAATTGGACCTATAGAAGTGAATACTAACTACCACTCTGAAACCAATATTATTGCCAAACATTTAATAAAACTGACTGAAATTACAATAAATAACAATCAAAATACATACAGGGTGGGCCAAAAGTCAGTACCCATACGTTGGCCTTAATAGATCAGTCACTGATTGCCCAATTGAAATAATTCTTTCTGGTATGACTTACTACCACCACTGGTTCGAGGAATTTGTCAAATCGAAAAATATTCGCGTTCATTTTTTTCAAATGGAGGTTCATTTTCACATTTATTTGATAGTTTGGATAGTCGGATCAAGCTAAATGTTATTGAATTGTGTTTGGCCATTCGAATTACGTTTGTCCTGAAAGAATTAGAACTGTAGCTTCTCAGATGACCGAGATATGAAGCATAACGAGTTTATTCATTACGTGTGATCAGGTGATTGGTTTAACTAATCACGTGATAAGGTGACCCCGTTAACTACCCCGTTAAACATTATGAGAATTGTTAAGGGTGCCCAATTAAGGTGTCGTGTCACGGTGTCACATAATCACCCAGTCAATTTTGTTAACGAGATACAGAAAATGCGTGATAACTTCGTCATTTCTAATCCGTTTTGCCTCATGTTTTCAGATCATATGCAACATTTGATAATCTACCGTCTCTGAAAAAATTAGGCGTTCAGCATGTTCAGAGAAAATAATATAGGTGTTTTAATATTGAATGGGCGTGGTCTAAAATATTCGAATTTTCAAATTTTGACGACGGAATCCTCGAACCAGTAAGTACAGTATGCCATCTGCAAAGCAACAGCTCTCAAATATAAAACAAGGCGGAGCTATTAAGGCCAACGTATGGGTACTGACTTTTGGCCCACCCTGTATTATAATAGCAACGGAATTAAATCTGAAACGTCTGTAATTATAAACTTAACCTAACAAAACTTCAAGAATCTAAACATTATCAATTAAATAGCTGAACGCCCCTTTCTATTCTGACACATGGTGACGCACCTTGTGTAATTCTACAGCAGATGTTGGAGTAAATAGTGTAGGTGCCGCCATTAAGTAGCCCCCAATGCTATACATTCCGTGTTATAATAAAAAGGGATTAAACTGATTACTTTCAACTAACACATTACATTATTATATACTATATAGTTAACACTGTAACTGTGACACTAAACGTGCCGTTATTTATCCGTCTATCTGTACTAGGTCTGAGATTTAATTAATTATTTTCAACTCTGTTAAATATTAACTAACTAAATTCTAACTAAGAGACAAACTGATCAATCAGGACCTCTGAAACCAGGCCACTGGATGACTGGAAGGTCACCACAAAAATACACTACTACTACAGTACTACTACAGTTACTACTACTACTACTACTACTACTACTACTACTACTACTACTACTACTATACAGTATACAGTACTAATAATAGAGTAGTTACTATTTAGTCCCCTGAGTATTGAAACTTGTTAAGGAGCTACTGTTACTTTCACTTGTTACTGTCAGCTCATGTTCCCAGTAGATAACGAACCATTAACTTGAGTATCTACAACTCTATTTCTTACTTCTTGTTCAGCACACAGTATGTTCAATGTAATCTGTCACGTGCTGCAGTACTTTTTTAGCACTGGGAGATATGGAGTGTAGCAGGAGGTTGTCATGGTAACCACTTAGTTCACGTATGAAGTGTACTGGTACTCTGTTGTATTGCAGCCACTCCGCAAAGTACCTGAATATGAAACTTATTACAAAAGTGTCAACCAATGTTTTGTTATTATCTTAAGTGATGATAAGACCAAATAAAAGGACACAGAGGGATCTAACCACAATCCTGAATTCAGGGCTATTTTGGTCGAAATTCCATTAAAATCGTTAACTTAATGAACGAGAAAGAGAACATGATAATGAGCTAAACAAGTCACCTGGAATCATCGAAGCTCTGATCCTGGACATATCCCACTATCAAGGAGCTGGGCAGCCCGCTCGGATCAGCACACATCAGTGGGAACGCTAGCTCGTTCCATATTCCCTCCACACTGGGTTTAAGTTCAGATATTGGATCACGTGTTTTAACCGCGTCATCTATTAGGGATCCCCAGAACTTGGGGTACTCATCTGTAGCACCTTCTACTGCTCCTGGTTTCACGGTTAGGGTAGTTAGAAAAATACACTACTATTATTACTACTATAGTACTAATAATAGAGTAGTTACTAGCTCCTGGTGTCACGGTTAGGGTAGTTAGAAAAATACACTACTATTATTACTACTATAGTACTAATAATAGAGTAGTTACTAGCTCCTGGTGTCAACTGTCAAGGTTAGGGTAGTTAGAGGAACTTTACTTCTGCTTTATTGTGGAGTAAAACATCAAGTTTTCAGATTGGTCCTTATTTGGCCCAATAAGTTTAACAATTATTACAATGATTTTAAGCAAAGTTTATGTCTGTTCAAACCTAGAGTTGACGAGAATGATGGATTTCCTGCAATGTAATAAGATAGATACAGCGACTTGTGTTGCACTGTTCCTTTATTACTGGGGTTTAAGGAGCTGTTTTCACCGTACGAGAATCCTTGTAGAACAGGATGAATCAGAATCTGAACAATTAGGGAGTAAAGTGTCTCAATCAATAACAAATCAGTCTGGATACAACAATAATGAAGATATTATAATAAATAATAACAGAATTTCTACAACACTAGTACGACAGTTTATTAAACCAACTATCCAACAAAGTAGAATGTAAGATGTATTACATAATTTACATTCCAACGTTACCTGAGCAGCTAGAGGTGGTTGAAGGTCAGCAGTGCTGTCCAACAGTGACTTTCCCTGGTGTCTCTGGTGAAGTATAGCCACTGCTGAGGCCAGCGCTGCCCCACTTCCATCCCCCATCACTATTACCCTTCTTTTGTTAATACTGAGGGTTGTGTCCTGTGTCTGGACCCAGTTTACTACCTGGAAAACTGGGTAAGTGGTGTACAATACAGACGGAGGCACATAATGTTTAATAGATGATTATTTGTAATTAATATTTATATTGTTTTCAGTATCAACTATAGTCAAAATATACGATGTAACCTAATAACTCATAAGTCTTGAAGTTTTTATTTGAAAGCAAATTAAAATTGGTCAATCCCAAAAGACCAATTATATTTGATTCACATAGCATTAACATTAATATTAAGAATTAGTGGATATTTCACCTGGTAAGCTTCAATAACTGCGTTAGGGAAAGGGAACTCGGGGGCAAGCTTCTGACCACACAAAATAACCTTACACCCATTTGTTATTGCTAATGTATACATAAGTGTATGGTACATAGCCTGACTGTAGTAACAAAACATCCCTGAAATTATTGTGATATTGAGATCCATAAATTCCTTTAGTGTGCTCAGAATGTTTATATAATTGAAAGTAAAGTTGAGTGTTGTCAATTAATGTACAAAAACAATGTGCTCACCTCCATGATAGTAGACGATTACAACGTCTGATTTGATAACTGATGGAGTATAGATCCGTAAAGGCACATCTTCTAGTATCTCTGTTCTGTAAGAACATGTTTGAAACGGTTTATTTGGGACTAGAAGGAGCAACTTTGTGACTGACCTGAATACCTGAAATTATGAAAAGTCAAGAAATACAAAATCTTTCAGACTGAGATTTAGTTAACAAGCCAAATGGAAATTATGTATATAATATGCTTCGGCATGCATTTATATTGAAATTAGAAATGAAGCTTCAAGAGTGAAGCTGATCTTTAACTGCCAGCTTTTTATCTGTCTTCATAAGAGATGGAAATTAACTGCAGATTCAGTTCTAAAGTTATGAGGTAATTTAAATTTTACTTAAACAAAAAATCCAGGCACAGGGGTATATTTCAATTGTCAGCTGTGCCTTGCTTTAAAAAGAACTACCTAATAGTATCAAGGAGGGGACTGTGCTGTAAACTGACCCTATGATAAGGTGCCAGCCTCAAAGTTGAGATCAGTGTTGCAGCTGCAGTTGCCAGAGATGTGATAAAGTGGTAGATGATAAAGTCATATGAGACAGAAGAAAGTTTAAACATCTTGAACAAAATAGAGTTTATCATCAGGACCCCCAAAAACGAAACTGCAACGTATAAGTATAGTATTCTGTCGTTGCATCCAACCAATATCAGGCTGACGATTCCAAGCCATGATCCAACTGTTAAGATGGGGTTGACTCCCAAATCAACTTTAGCAGCTGCCATAAAGACCTAATTCAGATATTTAAGAATATTTATGTTTGTTACAAAAATATTACTATGACTGAAAGGCTATACATTCCTAATTAAATAATATTGGTGTTTATTCTGGTTGAAGAAATATGAGATCCTGGAGAGGTTCGCTGTTTATCAGTCTCATGATAAGATATTGATTCAAGGGATAATATCCGGTAGTAAAGACTAAGTAGGACAAGTGAAACAACTAGTGTTTCCTCCTAAATTGTAGTGAAACAAATTTAAAATTTTATCCTTTATTTTACAATCATAATATAATAATATTTATAAGCCTCTGTTTTGAAAGTTTTAAATTTTAATATATCCACATTTCTATTTAAAATTCAATTTTATGTATAATTCAATAACTGGCCGCCAAAGCCGCGCATTCATGAAAACAGGAATAACTTGTTTATAGTTATACGACAAAGTAAATTAAAAGAATAAATTTTTTAGAATAAATTATAATTTTACCTAAATCCAAAGCCAGCTTTGTAAAATTTACAATTAGATCATAATATATCGTCAATTCTAAATATTTACAATGCAACATTTCATTAATCTATACATAATAAACAAGCGTACTCCAGCCCCTACACGCATCCATTCTTATCCATTCACGCACGTATTATTTTATACTTTTTGCTTTCTAATAAATATATGGTCAATGTGTACGTCTAAATGTTCATGTTTTGTGTAAACTGAATCCAATTGAGACTAGTGACAAGGATGAGGACCCAAGTGCCTGTACGGCTTTTTCGGAGAAGTAGTTTCACTTGTCCTACGAGATAGAAGAAGTAGTTTCACTACTTAGTCTCTACTACCAGATATTATCCCTTGAATCATTATTTAATTCTGGTTCCGCAGACATAATTACTATTTTATTTTCTATCATGAATCGAATAATTTGCTCACTAATTTCGATTGTTTCAATAACATGCTCATGCTAGTCAGTGTTTCTATGATAGAGCAAGCTTGCTACAATGTCAACACAAAATTAATTTTTGCATTTAAAATGCTAAGTGTTGGCTCCCCCTTTAATATTACGAGGATTAGCTGCTTAATTGAAAATTGTTCAAACAATATATACAAATAAATTCAGCAATGGTTATTGTCTAACGGGGGGGGGGGGGGGGGGGGGGGGGGGGGGGGGGGTACCACTGTCCATTTTGTCTTTGTCTTTTTTTACATTTTTTTGTGAAGGACAGTGTTTTGGGGACAAAATGGACAATACTAGGGACAAATGGGACAAAAGGGACAAAAATTTTGGATAAATGAGACTAAAAATAAGACAAGCTCAAATGTAGAGAATGTATATATTCTACTCGACATCAACAATTTAGATTTTCATGTCAGTGTTTTGCTGTGCTTAGAATCAACTGAAACCACTGAAGGGACTGAAATAAGCAGAATTCATCAACGTCATCACATAAATAAATGTGTACACGGTTCAGTCAATATTTCATTAATCCCAATAATCATGTGGTGATATCAAAAAAGTCATCATCTTTTAATATCATAACGCTCATAGCGGCCAGAAGCAGATACCCAGACCCACACAATTACTTTTCCATTAACAATATATGCCGACAATATCGAGCTAATGGGTATTTGCTTTTTCCTATGAAGTAGGAGAAAAAGCATGCTTTCTGAGTGTTGTTTGCAATGCAAGTTCAGCTCAAACGTCAAATGTGAATCAGTGAGCAGGCATATCGGACTAGACCAAGTTGTCTTGAATAGTGAGTACACTAAGGCTGATATATAACCAAGATTGACTTTACTGTTCTGTCTGAATTTACCCAACTTATTAGCTTGTTGGAACTGTGCCTGAACTTATTTTTTGCATTTCAACGTATAATTGACCTTATTTTCTTTACTGTCCATTTTGTCCCTGTCTATTTGTCTCGTTTATCCCTGTCCATTTTGTCCATTTTGTCCATTTTGTCCATTTTGTCTCTGTCTTTTTGTCCATTTTGTCCTTTTTGTCCCCGTCTTTTTTGTCTTTTTTGTCTTTTTTGTCCCTATTATCTTTTTTGTCCCTTTTGTCCCTCTTGTCCCTTTTGTCCCTTTTGTCTTTGTCTTTTTTCAGTTTTTTTGTGCAGGGATAAAATGGACAGTGGTACCCCCCCCCCCCCCCCCCTCTAACAATAAGGTCAGACACCTAAATGTAAACTTCTGTCAATAAATTAATATAAATTTGAATTCGAATCGAGTAAAAATCTGAATAAAGATCAAAGTACTAACTTCCTTCAAACTTAAATTCATGAATCGAGATCAAATCTTTTGAAATGTGTTTAATATCAATATATGCACTTGTATAATTTACTTAAAATACTTTTGAAAGATATTACATAATAACAAGCTCACAAACACTATTGTCTTATTGGTAGCGATTAGATTTGGACCATTCTGTGTACATTTGTAAATGCTAATTTTGATTTTTTGGTAAGTATATAAAGTTAAAGTGCACAAAAATGACTTTCATGCAAAGTAATAGATCTTATTCGAAATTAGCACAAAAAGTAAATTATTTTATTTTTCATTAAAAATCATAATAGTTTGGGTAGCTTTTGTCAACAGTCAAAATAACTCAAAAGTTATTTTTTACAATTCCCCGTTAAATTTAAGTCCGCGGTTAAACCACGCACGATCAATTTTCCCTACCATGTCCTTGTACCATTATGGCATTAATTCTTTTGAGTGAAAAGTGTGACTGGAAAAAAGTGCACCATATTTACATGCTATGTTTTTTATAAATGAGTGGGATTCGTGCATGGTAAAAATTAATGATTTATTTGACCAGTGCAGCGCCGCGCATCAACAATAATTGAATCCAGAAAATTGCGGAAAATAACGTTGCGAAGGAGGAATTTCACTGTAATTAATTAACACATGGCCAGCGTCGCGCGCAGCATAACAGACACTTCCTATACACTTAATTATAGGGGAGTGGTCTATATTGCGAAGGAGCAGACTTTTGTCGAAATCGTAGGACCGTCGAGCCACCTCATGTATCTAAACCCGATTACTTATTCCCTACGATCTTTTTGCCTTCGGCAAGATCAGGGGGAAAAAATCAAGCAAAGTATAATTAACATATTTCATACCAATCAAATTGGATTTGGTTTTGGTAAAAATCAAAATATAGCGCACGACTTTTGAAAAGATTTAAGGTTGGTTGTGGTGAAACGGGTGATACTCGTAAATTTTTGTACATTGTAGGAAACCTACAAGTTTTGCTCTAACCAGAGCCCTCTCGCTTGCAGTAGCGCGCGACCGCGCTTGTGGCTTGTGAAACAAGCGCGTCACGCAGTACGCGTATACACATGGCTATGTGACCTACAAGTTGTGGTTTGACCATTGTTAATGATCTGGCCCGGCGCGCGCTACTTCGTAGCTCGTGCCGTCAGGCCATTTCGAGAAGAAAGCAGCGCGCGCTACTTCGAAGAAATTTAGACGAGTAACATCCGTCAAGTTGTGGTTCATCGTTGTGAAAAGCATTATTGATGCGCGGCTCAGTAGTGTGTTGCTCTGACAACAAACAATAATTTATAATGTTTAATTTTATGATTTTTGAATTGTATATATATATGATGTCTGTATTGAGAAATTCAGTTTCAAGAGTGCTCTACGGCCGTGCTATCTACCTATACCCGGAAGAGGAGCGTTGTAAAATAAAAACAATATAAATTTTAACGGGTGATACTCGTAAAATATCTGTTCCATATATTGACCGACGGGTCCAACTCCCCAGGAAACCTTACTGGCTAGCGATATTACTACAGGGTGATCGCCTTTTCAAAGCTTGTTGAGCTCCGCGCGCGCTCGTAAGTTCATTGCATTTGCACGCTTCAAACATTCCAAAGATGCAATTGTACCGCGTACCACGTGATACGATTCAGCCAATCAGAGAACAACAATCTGCAAAGTTATAGCTGCGCAGTTTTATAAGGCCTAAAATATGACTTTTCGCGATAATTAAAAATCTACGTTGTTTTTAAGTTTCCCCCTGGGGGGGGGGGGGGGGGGGGGGGGGGGGGGGGGGGGGGGGGAAACGTTATTTTTACAAGGCGAACATTTTGTTGAAAATCCGACGTTTCTATCTATTTTACTTCCAAAGTTAGGCCCCTACCAGTAAGGTTTCCTGGGGTTACGGGAGGGAGAAGTGCCAAGACTACTCATTATCACTGATAATGAGTAGTCTTTATCAGTTTGTCCTTGAAGTCAGAATGAGCGAATTGGAATCCCTAGCTCTGTGGTGGGTGACTTCGATGGGGCCTGAAAGCTAAAAGAGAATTTCCTGGTGATTTAATAGGTGCTTAGAGCTAGGGCTCTTACTAATTCGCTCGCCCAAAAATTTCACGTGACTTTGGTTTTTATGGTTTTGCAGCCGTACAAAACGGTTTTAAATAAACCCTAATCCCAACCCTAACCCTAACCATAACCCCGAAGCTATCCATAACCCTTACCACAACCCTTACCCTAACCCGAGCCCTAAACAATCGAATTCATGTTTTACTAGCCTGTCACGTGACCAAAACGGTTTTTTGCCCATAACTCTCCAGGGAAGCATTTTTACCCTACGTCATGGGGGGTGATTCGGAATCAGCGTTCAAAAATACACCGATTGAGATCAATTTCATACCGAAAGGTCCTTTTCACAAGAATTTTCTTAACATTTGGGCGAGCGATTTAGTAGAAGCGTAGAGCTAGGTATCTGTGTCTAACGTGTCTTCATTTGTGCGTGTACTATTTTGTAACCTGATATCTGATATGGGAACTTTGCGTTGGCAAGTCCCAACCTTTGTACTTAACAAGAGAGCACACCACCCGTTAGTGCCAACCAGGCCACACCACCTGGAGGTTCGGAGAGGATTTCCTGACCCTATTTATTGT